GAATGCCGATAACGAAAGAGCCTGGAAACAGAGGCGATCTGAGGATCAGATTCGACGTCCAGTTTCCCACAAGGCTGACGATGGAGCAGAAATCTGCACTTAAACGTGTCTTAGGGGGTTGTTGACGACGAAGAAGAAGAGTTGTAGCCATCATTCATGTCTGTCTGTAACAATCTGTAGAGATTTTCAAATGAGAAAATTATGAGAATCAATCACCTTTAGATGCAAATATACTTTCGGATTCTGAATGAAACAGCAAACAGTTTTTTCGAAGTTTTTCACGCAAAAGTTTCATTATTCAAAGATTATACATTACATGATTGCTACAAGAAGATGATTGAGAAATACAGACAGCCTACAAAAGCCTAGGGAGAGAAGAGAAACTGTAACTACACGAGGCAAGGAAAAAAAAAACTAGACAGGTCAAAATCCTCTGTTCCTTGGCCCGGCATGGCCATACGGTTGCTCTGCCACCGCGTTCTGATTGGCCCACCATCCGTCCCCTGACCGTGGAGGTGGTGGCAGTGGCTGCTGCGTATGTATAGGTGGTCTGACCACTGTCCTGCTGTGAACTTGTCGAGGATCCATCTCAGCCCCAAAGCCGGGAGGTGGCTGGAGAGAAGTGGGCGGTGGAACCGGGTGGTGGCTAGGAGCCCGTGGCTGCCATTCGGGCATATCATCGTCATCCTCATCATCGTTGTTGTTCCATGGCTGGATTCCCTGGTTACTACCGCCGGTTACAGACTTGCCATATTTGTGTATAAGCTCCCTTACTTGATGCATAGACCGGGATTGCGGCCGGGGAGAAGAAACTGGCCTACTCGAGGAATCAAAGTTAAACTCCGGAAGATCGTCGTCCTCGTCTCTTGCAGCAGACCCGGGACCAAACCCGGGTGGGACATCATCGTCATTACCATCATCATTAGCAGTAACGCCATGACTCCCCACCATGGATGATGCAACAGCTCTTCCACTATTCATGGCATTTATGACTGAGCTCTTCCCAGAACCTGAAGAAGAGTGATGCCTTTTGAATCCGGGTTTGTCGCGTGGGCGGGGAGAAGAGGCAACAGCTCGTCTCCATACGACGACACCGATCAACCCTACGTCCAGACGCTTGACCTCCTCGAGCTGGTCATTGGAAATGATCTTGCCGATCATATCGAGCGTCTGGCCACGTGGCGGACAGAGGTAAAGCTCCATGCCGGAGGTTGGCTCTGAGTAACCCACTCTCTCGTCAGCTACGTACGACTCTGCAGCCTGTGAACATTAAACAAAAACATTAACAGTTTGAGCTTTCTAACAAAGCCTAAGATTTTGTCTGAAACGGGATCATAGTTTAGAATATTTTGATAATTACCTCGTAAAGATTGCCACGCTGGCTTTCAGAGACACCATCTTTGCACACCAAGCACATCACCTGTTACACAAAAAAAAAAAAAAAAGAGAGGTGAAGGAAATTAGAGAACAAGGAAATGAAATCTATGAATCATCACTTGCTTATAACAACACACCCAAATGAAAAATAAAACTTTTTTTGTACAAGAGAAATGCATTTGTGCCATGAGAGTGTGTTTTGGGTCTGTGGTCTAGGAAACTAAATAAATAAAAAAAGCCAAATTTTCCACAAAGTTTATGATTTCTCTCTTTTGGTTCTTTGTCACTTTCTGGGAAATTCTTGCGTGATCTCTGTGTCCTAAACTCGTTTAAGTCGTAACACAAAGGAAGAGATTGGGCATAATCACAATCGACACACCAAGACCGTACATCCGATCTCATATTCGAATCATCATGAAATATACAAAACACTGAAATTGACGATCAAGATTCTAAATCCATTCCACCCACTGTTGATTCTGATCAACATGGGCACTTATTGTCTGCTTTATCTGTTCTTCCTCACCAACGGTGATTATGTATAGCTTTTATGGGCATGTGTCTGTCTGCACGAAAGACAGAACTGGGAAACAGATAAATGAACACCATAGATGAAAAAAAAAAGGTTCCAACTTTTTTTCCCCCCTGCATCTGTTTGAAGTATAAGCAACAAAGGTAATAACCTAATCTAATGCTGCTACCACTACAATAGTGATGATAATGCGAGTGGGATACCATTAGGGCACGGCTTCTGGACAAAGGAAGCTCTTTTAGAAACTTTGCAAATGCACTCACTCTCACCCTACCCTTCACCTCCACCAGCGTTGGCCACTCCCTCGTCTGAGCTCTCTCTCCACTGCAATAACGATCAAATCCAATCTGGTCAGAGATTCTGTCTACCATTAATCTTAAGGAATCTATCTAATCACACCCTCAATTCCTTCACAGGTTTTATTCATATTCCTCCATCCAAAGAGAAGAGAAAAGGCAGGTCCTTGCTTGAAAGAAATAATATCAGAAGGCCCAAACAACAAACCAGGGATGTAAGGGTTGGAGACAAAAGAAACTTACCTTTTATAAATTCCAGTGACAGGTACCACGGAAGAGCTACTAAGCTGCAGTATACCATCCCAGACCTTTTCTCCCTTTATAGAAGCCACGTCATCTCTATTTTCGGGTTTAGAGACATCATCAATGGACAAGACACTGGCATCCGGTTTGGGGGAAACTAAATTAGACTTGTCGGGTTTGGAGTTAGGAGAATCTCTCTCGCTGGGTTCTTTTGGAAATTGATGGGAAGACACGGATTCTGAGTCACTCTTCTTGTGTACAGAGGCTTCCTTTCCAGCATCTTCCTGGGGACTTTCAAAAGGAGGTTCAGAATTCAAGGATTCCATGAATTCATCGAGGGATACAATAGGAGGAAGAAACCCGACATCCTTCATCTCATCATCCATGGAGAGACCTTGCATCGGATCAGTCCCTTCATTAGATGGAATAGTGATGGTGCAAGATTTCCCCTGATTCCCTTGGGCGATCTTATCTTGGGAATCATCTTTCTTCAATGATTTGACAGGATGAGAAGACTCCTTCTTCCCTTTGTTTTTTGGTCGAGGTTGACTACTACGCGAAGAGACACTAGCAGAAACATCCACAGCTCCACTGTCAACGGGATCAATTTCTACCTGGAACTCACCTTTATGCGTTTTCCTCACCAACTGTCTGACATCGATGTCCGTGTCTCGCAGGACCACCATCTCTGCCATTTCTTCTGCTTTGGCTTGTCGCCACTGAGAAAGCTCCTTAGAAGCGAGTTCCTCAGCTGTCATAGAACACAATCGTGCAGGAGGAATCTCCCCGGAGATAACTCTTTTTCTTAGCTCAGGATTGTTCTTATCCTTTAAATTGAACAAAAGAGATCTTCCCTTCTCTTTGTACTTCTTGTTCACACCTCCAAATAGATTAAAAAGTTCCACTTCAATCTCCGATGCCAAGAGTTCCGGATCCTGAAACGGCTTTTCTCCATCTGTTCTCTCATTGATCTCATCACCTGACTTGGGTGCTGCATCTGTTTCCACGTCCTTTGCCTCCCCAAGATCTGAAACAGATTCCAGTACCCATGAGAGGCCATTACCCTGTAAAAGTTCATCGTTGGCAAAAATACTGTCACTAAAAGGAACATCATCTCGAGGGAAAACCTCATCAAATTCAGATTTTTGTTCATCGGATTGATTAGCATCTTTCATCTGGGTGTCATCCGAAGTCTCATGCAACACAATTCTTCCAGCACTGTCTTTCTGCCCTGAATTTTCATCGCCACTGGACAATGCATATGTGGCTACTTCAACTGCAGGTGTGCCAATAGCAGCAGCAGTAACAGGTTCAACACTTTCAGAATTTTCCTGAGTTGTTGCAAAATTATCTACATCTTTGGTCTGTGAACCCTTTTCCCCTGCAATACAATCGTCTTCCTCGAGCGTCTGGCCACGTGGCGGACAGAGGTAAAGCTCCATGCCGGAGGTTGGCTCTGAGTAACCCACTCTCTCGTCAGCTACGTACGACTCTGCAGCCTGTGAACATTAAACAAAAACATTAACAGTTTGAGCTTTCTAACAAAGCCTAAGATTTTGTCTGAAACGGGATCATAGTTTAGAATATTTTGATAATTACCTCGTAAAGATTGCCACGCTGGCTTTCAGAGACACCATCTTTGCACACCAAGCACATCACCTGTTACACAAAAAAAAAAAAAAAAGAGGAGGGAAAACCTCATCAAATTCAGATTTTTGTTCATCGGATTGATTAGCATCTTTCATCTGGGTGTCATCCGAAGTCTCATGCAACACAATTCTTCCAGCACTGTCTTTCTGCCCTGAATTTTCATCGCCACTGGACAATGCATATGTGGCTACTTCAACTGCAGGTGTGCCAATAGCAGCAGCAGTAACAGGTTCAACACTTTCAGAATTTTCCTGAGTTGTTGCAAAATTATCTACATCTTTGGTCTGTGAACCCTTTTCCCCTGCAATACAATCGTCTTCCTGCTGAGCCTGAGCCAAAGCAGCTGCTAATGATTCCCTCATTTTAGACCGCACTGACTCGTTTCCTTCATTCTGCGTTTTCTTCGAGACTTGTGATGGAACAGGCTGTTTCTTGTTTGTCAACTGTTTTGCAGCATTACTGGAAACAGACTCCATTTGCACTGCTTTCTTGCTCAGCATCGGCACATGTTGCATCATTGGAGAAAGTGAGGAAGTTGGAAAATGCACTGACCCATTACTTGCTGGAGATAATTGCTGTAACCAAGGTCTGTGCTGCATTTGTGATACTCGTTTGTTTGATACATCCAATTTCTGAGGTGCAGAACCATTAGGAACAGACTCCAAAGGCGATTTACGCTTTCCAGCCAGCTGTGTGGAACCCGAGCTACTGAATGCAGCTATCGACCCTCCAGAAGGGTATTGATGTGCTACAGAAGGCTGCAACTGAGGCGTAGACGACTGAGAATCCATCAGACTAAAAGGTTGGCAGGAAACAAACTGTGGTACAAAGCTAAACGACATAGGATCTGACACACCCATCAATACGTTTGATGTGTCTACATGCTGCGATGTAAGGCTGCTGCTTGCAGAGGCCATTAGCCCTGACTGCATGACTGAAACTGGCATATGTTGGATGGGAAGATCATTTGTACTTGTTTCCATCATATTTGTGATTTCAGCCATATCTGGATTCCCAGACACAGCTTCTAAATGACCTTGACGACTTGGTACAGAGATTTGCTCCGACACCATATCGCCTGACATGATCCAGCAGCTGCATATGACATTCACTTCGATAACTGTGGTGAAAACAGAGAAAGGACAATACAGATTCAGAGAAGGCAAAAAAAATTGATGGTATCCGGGTGCCAAGAATTTTAGAACAAAGAACGGACACAACCCAAGCAATTAACATAAAAAAGCCGCAACAAAATACATCAACCATCAGATTTGTATTCATATTTGGTAGGTTTTCTGCGTTTTTCTTTCTCAATTTACACCCTCTGTTCAATACTTGCCCATGTGTTTCAATTAGGAGAAATCGAAGAATTATCCCGACCCTGATTGCTGATTCTTTCACTAGAAGAACTCATCCCAACCCACGAAAAAAGGGGATCAAAAGACCAAAAAAAAAGGACTGAAACACCGTCCAACAACAGTAACAAAGACAAATCAAAACACAAATCGAAGAAAACAACACGAATCAACGAACATGCACGACATGACTCGGAAGAAAAAATAACCAAAGAAATCAACTAGATACTGCTAAAAAAAATCAACCTCCAAAAAGCAACCCAACAAAGAGACAACCAAATCGAACCCGTCGATTCCGCAGCAACTCGAGATGGTGTGCATGGAGATTTACCTGATCTAAATCTTGGATATCAACCGTCAATGGTAGAAGCAAAGATTCAGCGGTCGGCCTGACGGGAAAAAGAACCCTAGGAAGAAGAAATCTTTTCTGGATATTGAAAATGAAGAAATTGTGGTGAGCTTAATTTTCAGCAGTTGCTTCTAGAGACGTCGACGTGGATCACACGTGTCGAGAAAATTTTGTTTTGGGCCAAAATAATGGGCTTTCAGGTTAGGCCCATAAAGATAGCTTTAATGGGCTTAGATCCAATCGTTTGGAATCTTTCTCTAGTTTGGTCGCTTTTTTACTTTGGATTCCTGAGCAGGCTGATGAATCCAACGGTTGGCATCACGTGTCAGCGTCTCATCAAACGCTCGCCATTATTGCATGCGATTTGTGTTTAAAATATTTATTTCCCCAGGAAGAAAAAAAAAGTTCTGATGTTCTTTAAAATTTCTTTTGGGGAAAAATCGGGGAACATTTTTCCTGCAATTCCCGGGGAAATCCCGTATTTTCTCAGAGATCGAGAAAGAAGAGAAAAATTCGAGATCGTAACACGTAGAACAATCATATAAAGCTCGTTGATCACTTTTTGTTCCTTCCTCCACAGATCTGCTTCTTTTTTTTTTGTTGGGTTGAAAAATCTCTCCAGATTCAGATTTTCCTTATTCTACACCCGGATCTCTCTCTCTCTAGGATTGTTCATGGATACTGGAATCATGAGATTAAGATTTGGGGAGAAAGCAGGTAATGATTAGGATTTCCAAGTTTTGGGGCTGTAAAAGTTGCAACCTTTTCTTGCTTCTGATTTAAACCACATTCTGCGGGGATCTGATATCGCAATCAATGCGTGTTCCTGTTTTCGATTTTGGTTCTGTTTTCTGTCAGATCCGTGGGCGATATGGGAAGTTTAGGGTTTCGGCGGTTTTTGAAGAGGTTCTGACCGGTTGATATGTGAGTTTGAGCTTATCACAAGGGGGACTTGGTTGAATCCCATATTCATCGCCGGTTCTCGTGGATTTGAATTTTGGTAAGGATGTTCAAGCAGTTTCTGAGTAAATTTCCTCGGAGGTCTTCGAAAGCTGACTCGGGAGAGCTGACTCGCACGAGTTCTGGGTCTGGAAGTGGCTTGGTCCCATCGCCGGGTCAGAGATCTGTAACCAGTGGCTCTGCACCGGCTCGATCCAACTCGGCCAAACGAATGTCATCTGCTGTTTTTCCGACCAGTGTGGTAGCTGGGATCGAGCCATTGGTGCCATTCAAGGACGTGCCAAACACGGAGAAGATGAACCTTTTCGTGAGCAAAGTTAGTCTCTGCTGTGTTACATTCGATTTCTCTGACCCAAGTAAGAATTCAATAGAGAAAGATGTGAAAAGGCAGACACTGCTCGAGCTTTTGGAGTTTTTAGCTTCCGGGTCTCTGAAATTCACTGAACCCGCGATTCTCGCCATGTGTAGGATGTGTGCTGTTAATCTATTTAGGGTTTTCCCACCGAATTGTCGATCTAGTGCTAGCGGTGGTGGTGAAAACGATGATGACGAGCCTATGTTCGACCCTGCTTGGCCGCATTTGCAAATCGTGTATGACTTGCTGCTTAAGTTTATCACGTCTCCGTGCCTCGATGCTAAAGTGGCGAAGAAGTATGTAGATCATGCATTTATCTTAAGGCTGCTTGATTTGTTTGATTCGGAGGATCCTAGAGAAAGGGAGTGTTTGAAGACGATTCTGCATAGGGTTTATGGCAAGTTCATGGTGCATAGACCGTTCATCCGCAAGTCAATGAGCAACATATTCTACCGGTTTGTGTTTGAGACAGAGAAGCATAATGGAATTGCAGAGCTTTTGGAGATTTTCGGAAGCATTGTGAGTGGATTTGCGTTGCCCTTGAAGGAGGAGCACAAGATCTTTCTATGGAGGGTTTTGATTCCACTTCACAAGCCCAAATCTCTTGGTAATTACTTCCAACAGCTATCTTACTGCATCACACAGTTCATAGACAAGGAGCCAAAGCTGGCCAGTGTAGTCATAAAGGGTCTATTGAAGTTCTGGCCTATCACGAATAGCCAGAAGGAGGTGATGTTTCTCGGGGAGTTGGAAGAGATTTTAGATACGATAAGCATGATGGAATTTCAGAAGGTCATGGTTCCGTTGTTCTCGAGGATAGCATGTTGTGTTAACAGTTTCCACTTCCAGGTACTCCCTCTTCTCAAATTTCATCTTCAATTATGCATGAATTTTGGCCCATTCTGAATGTTTTGCAAAGATATGTACTTTGAATGCCTCTTGATGCTGGAGTAGACCATGATTTTGATTCACCGTGTGTGATTCTCATAGATAGCTTCATTTTACCGAGCTACGATACTGTTTTCAGACATCACAATATTTTGAGGATGTTTTTTTTGTGACCACTTGAATGAAACTTCCTCTGTTCAGGTAGCTGAAAGAGCCCTTTTCTTGTGGAACAACGATCAGATAGTAAACATGATTGTACACAACCGGCAAGTGATCATGCCCATCATGTTCACGGCCCTAGAGAAGAATGCTCAGAACCACTGGAACCAATCGGTTCAAAACCTAACCCTAAACGTCAGAAAGATGTTCTGTGAGATGGACGAGGCTTTGTTCTTGTCATGCCACGCCAGTTTCAAGGAAGAAGAAGCAAAACTGAGGTCAGCAGCCGAAAAGAGGGAAGAGATGTGGACAAAGCTGGAGAGGGCAGCGAGTGTTAAGCCGATAACAGGAAACACAGCCGTTCTGGTGACTCCTTTAGCAACCCTAATCGCCTGCTAGTAGAACCCTAATCGCCTTCTTCTCAGACCTTGCATTTATCCAAAAAAAGGAAGCATGGAGGAAAAAGCTGTTGTTTAAAAGTGTGGGCTGAGATCTTTTTTACTTGTGAGTTGTTCTCGCTCTCTCTATCACTTTGTATTCTTCTGTAAACTTTGCTGTTGTTAGCTGTTGGGGTTTTGTGCCATTGCCAAAAGCTCTGCTCCCTCTGAAAACCCATGAAAGAGGTAAGCGAGAGAGCCAAAAAAAAAAACCCATGCAGTCAATGATAATATCATCACTTTGTATCGCCTGGTTTACCAAATCTTGAATATAAAAACACCTTGTGGGTGTTGGTCAATTTCCTTGATTGTTTTGGCTGATCTCCTCAGAGTCATCATAAGAACAAGTTTTTGTAACTTCAGATTCAGATTCAGATTCGTTTCCATCTGAATCTTTAACAGATCTTAAGATCATAATCAGGAGGAGGTTGGTATCTCTGCATAATATAATCTATAACACAGAGAAAGTGTTGATCTTAAAATCCCCAGATATATGTGGGCATCCATCAGATAACATCTCCACTAAAACGGGCTTATCTTAAAATCTAAGAAAAACATTAAAAAGAATCTCCATTTCCATGGATAATTAGCTTCACAATGTTTCAATACATTCCTGTTTTACAATGTAAACATCTTATTCACAACAAAACAGGATCACCACTTCAGACACTCCCATCGGGATTAGGGCCGCCGCCTCCCCTCTTGTTTGCCGTTGTGTTCTTCAGAATCTGCATATAATTTCCAACTTATAAATATCCAGCACAACTTTATATCGTATTTTATTTAAAAACCCTTCAGGGATACATAAACCAATCTTAGTCGAACCATCAAATGCATGTGTTCTTGAATCATAACAGGATGTCATTCCAACCTAAGCTAGTAATGTCCTAAACACATATATGAGATATACCCACATGCCAATATCAATCAATTGCATTGCATAATATATATATATATATATATAGAGAGAGAGAGAGAGAGTTACATGTCTAAGCATCTGATTTTCGTTTTGTAAAGTGGAGAGTCTCTCTTCAAGTTCGGAGTTTTTGTTCTCCAAGTCTTTAACTCTGCTCTCCAACTCATTCAAGTAAGCCTTTTTCCTCTCTCTTGCTTGTTGTGCCGAAACTCTGTTCCTCAACAACCTTGAACCACAATACCAAACAAGCCCTCTCATTCACCTCTTTATCAGGGGCAAAACGGTCACAAAAGGAGAAAAAAGAAATTGCACCTCTTGAGCCGCTTGTTCTCTTTGTCAGCAGGGCTCCTCCCTCGCTTTTTCTGACTTTCTCCGGCCGCCGCCGACGCCGCCGGATTCCGGGTGGATCCCGACGCAGATGCGGAATTCCGTCCGGCGGAGACACCACCGCCGGCGTCTCCTCCGATCTCCGGCACCCGCCTTATCTCCTCGTCGCTTTCCATCCCTGACGGAGAAACCAGAAACGGTAAAAAAAAGAGAACTTTCAGGGGAAAAATGGAAACTTTAAATACATTAGCGACGGAGATATTGCTGGCCTCGAGAATTTTCTCGGGAAGATTGAAATCAGTGGACCCAGTTGAGAGAATCTATGGCAGTACAAAACCCAGATGGGATCTCGCTTGGAAACCATGAAACAGGAAGAAAATCGAAATATTCCAAACTCGAGAAAAATCCAAGAACTTGGTAGATACCTTCTTTGATCTCAAGAGGCGGGGCAGAGCTTGATGACCTCTCGCTGCTCGATGGCAGAGAACTCGCCGCCAAAGAACTCGTCGCTTGCTCCTGCATTTCACAAAAGCTTCTGTCTCTATTTTCACAGAGAGAGAGAGAGAGAGAGAGAGAGAGAGAGAGAGAGAGAGAGAGAGAGAGAGATTGTTGTGTGGTGGCTCTGATGGTCGGAAAGATTTGGAAAAGAGCGGGACTTGAATAAGAGAGAACGCAACTCCGAGGGGAATTGCGAAGGGAGGTGATCAGAGCAACGAGAGCCGTCGGATCTCTAGAGGATCGGACGGCAGAGAAGGGAGAATCGTGGAGGGAGATGAGCCATGAGGAAATATCTGGATCAAAGGCAAAGGATGTAGGAGCGTGGAGATGTAATGACCGTTGATTGAATGACATCCTACGGTCAATAAAGAACAAGGAATTATGAAAAGTGTAAGGACTGGACCCCACTCACATGGTCGATCGGTTTGGGCACAATTAGGGGCATATCGGTAATATCAGACTGTACGGTACGGACACCTAGAGGAGGCCAGAGACAACATTGAAACCCTAATTTCAAAACGGGTCCCCGATTTTATTTACATATATCAGGAAAAAATTCAAGTCATGTTATAGGACACGAATCGACCGGTCAATAAATACACACATATGCTACATACACTTGTTGGGGTTTGTAGATATTTTTTTTGTTAAATTAGATACCAATTTCAGGCAGGATTGAACACGTGGTTAAATATTTTGCATTGTTATAGGATATTTAAAAATCGACTCGCTCTTTTTTATTCTAATTTTTTCATTTTTAAATAAATTATATGCATTCTCTTTTTTATATTAAATTCTGATCATTTTTTATTCGAATTTGAATTATAATATTATTAAGGTATAATCGCATTTAAATACCCGAACTTTTACAAAAATCCCATATAAATACCCAAACTATAAAATTGTCATATAAATACATGAATTTTTCATAACTCCCACATAAATACCCAGACTTTTTAATTTTTTCCAAATCAACCACTCATCCGTTAACGGCGTTAAACGTTACTGTTCACTCGACAAAAAACTGCTGACTCAGCAATGACTCAGCAAAAAAAACCCGCTGACTCAGCAAAAAGTGTTGACTCAGCAAAAAAAACCCGCTGACTCAGCAAAAAGTGTTGACTCAGCAAAAAAATATTATTAAATATTCAAATTTTTATTTACATATATTTAAATTAATATATACATATAAATTCACACATATATATATATATATACAAATATATATTAAAAAAATTATTTATAATTAATAAAATACATATACACATAACTACAATATATAAATGTATATATATCATTACTAATGCATATATATTAAAATAAAAATAATTATAATTAAATTTATGTATATACATAATATATGTATTAAAAAAATAATTATAACTAACATATATACATATAATATATATTAAAAATAATATTTATATGTATACATATTAATTTCTCAGCATCTATCCTACATGTGCTCTGATGGATTGTGTTGATTCTCTACAGTTTCTTCGGGGCCAAGACATATAAAATAACTGCCTGTGGAGGCGAAAGGGAAGAGAGTTGGGAATCAAACAGGAGCTCGATATGGAGCTTGCTTTTCCGGTATCCCGTCCTCTGCCCGCTTATCTTCGAACCACTTCACAACCCGTTTCCGAGGAAGGTTAGTCACTTGCACAATGCTGCTGATCATAGCATTCTACGCGAAAATGAATCTGAGTGAGTGATGGCTTCGACACAAATGGAAGAGAAGACGTAATATGATGGCTGGGTTTCCAAATTAGGGGGGAAGAATGTGATCCTTACAGTGGGTCGTTTCGATCTTCTGTAAACTTTCTCCATGGTTTCGACATGAACTTTCTTCAGCCTTTTCTGAGCAGACCATTTGCGTTGCATCACATGGACTGGCTCTTTAACCTTTTCCTCGGGCTCGATCACATCCTCGGTTGATTCAACGGGGAGCGGATCGGGTGAGTTGCTTTCAGGTACCACAGCCACTGGTGGAGGAGTTTCATCGGGTAGCGTAGCACTTAGCATCAGGAGATTAGGAGGCGGGTCACGAAGTAATTCAAGAACATATGCCCTGTCGAGACAAAGCTCAGCTGCCAGATTTTTTATCTGTGGAACACAAGAGAAGCAGATCAGGAAACAGGAAGAACCAAACAATCAGCTTAACAATAATGTAAACAATAAGCTTGGCAAGTTAATGCAATTCCACATCTAATTCAAACCCAAATCAGCAAAATGCAATTTCATAATTGTACGCTGCCGTATACAAGAAATGGAACTCACACTAGTTTTACGGCGCCCAGCTTTCAGCGCATAAGCTAATCTCCGGAGCTGCCAATTCTTCAGCTTCAATGGTCTTTCATCTTCTTCACTGTCATCATCATCATCATCATGACCCTCACCGACAACCTCCTCACCATCATGAGCATCCCCAGCGGCTGAACCAGACAAGGTGATGCTACCATCATCATCGCCAACATCCAACAAATCAGCCAACTCCTGAGCAAATGCATCCAAGTCCTCTTCACTTATCTCCTCACCATCATCACCATCATCATCGTTCTTAAGGTCTTCTTCCAACATATTAAACAGTGCCTCAAACGGATCATCATCCCCTTCTTCACCCTCCTCTCTTCTTCCATCATCTCTCCCAAAACCTTTCTGCAAAAAGTCATGGAGTCAAAACCAGCCGACAGAACAAATTTAAGACAGGAAAATCTAACCTAGCAAAGTCGCAAGACAAATTACCCAAAGTGTCCTAATTCCGACGAAATCAACCAACGCAGCAGGTAAAAGAAACCACAAAAATTCTCATTCACCCAACGTATTCTCATCATTTTCACCGGAAAAAACAAATTATGACGTTTTTCTCACCTTCTTCTTCCTCTTCAGAGACGGAGACGACGATTTTACGGACGCATTCCGGTTCTGGCGACGAGCCAAAACAAGAACAGATCGGGATGAGCGACAAAGAGGAAGAGCAAAACCAAGAGGATTAGGGTTCCAAAAGAGAAATCGACTATTCGATGAAGCTGAAGAAGAGCATAACGATGAAAGATTAGAAGTGAAGCCGGAGGAAAGAGCAGACGCCATAGCTGTGCCACAGTTCGCCGTTATCGCGAAGACCGTACGGATTTATACTCACGTTTTCCAGAGAACGACACCGTTTCGGGGTACAACTGCTGCTCCTACGTTCGTGCTGTTTTATATTACCGCTGCAGCAAACCATGTCGTTTTGTTTTCCACCGGTGACAGATTTCAAGACCAAACGCACAGTTTTGAGCGGAACGCGATCATAAAGATTCCGTCGTCGGCGTCGTTCCAGCCGGTGTCCATTCTGTCTCCTCCTCTCTCTGGGAACTGCTTCTCCCTCTCTCTCTCTCTCTCTAGATTCTCGTCTCTTCTGCTCGATAATGGCGAATCCAGTGCCGTCATCAAAGGGATGGACGAAGAACATATCATCAATGGCCTCTGGAGTTTACTTCCCTCTTGATCATATTCCAGATCCCTCTCTTCAGGTAAATTCAAACTCAGTCACAGTCTTACCCGCTTAAGACCCAGATTTCCTTAATCATGCGAACTATGTCCATGAATCTGAAATTTTGACGACCCGGGTCATTTTTTTTACATGGGTTTCGAGTCAAAATTCAATATTTTTTCTTCCATTTCCGGTAGAACCCATCGAAATTCGATTCTGAACGCATGAGCTCGTCGAAATCAAAGCTGAATTTGAGTTTCAAAACTTGTGTAGATCTTTCCCTTTTGCTACAGAAACGAAAACGTGTCTGGAAAATGACAGTGTCTTGTCTTGGCAGTGTCATTTGGTATTATCGGTCCTGAGTTGCCACTTGTCTTGTTATGTATGTATACATTACCGTATGTACACTCCAATCTACCTCTTTCTCCCAGCCAAAGTTTTTTTTAAAGGGAAAAAAAAGTTCAATGATTGGTCTGAAAGAAATGCATTGTTAACGTTGTCTTTCTGGCTTCATCTTCTTTGCAAAGTCTTCGTGCCACAGTAATATCATAACTCTCTCTCTCTCTCTCTCTCTCTCTCGATATTCTTTGGTTTTTTCAGTTTTATAGGTCTCAGAAGAACTCAAAGAACTCAAGCTCTGCGTCAGTTATAATCAAGGACCAGCGGACGAGAAATGGATCAGAATCAGAATCAGGTCAGTGTGGATTTTACCGGCGATGCCCTCGTAGATGCCATCAAAGAAAAGCTGAATTCTTTGTCTCCTCTTTCAAAAGAGTGCTGTATCTACAGAGTGCCCGAGAGATTGCGTAGGCTCAACCCAGAAGCGTATTCACCTCGTTTCATCGCCATTGGACCTCTCCATCACGGTAAAGAAGAGCTTCAAGCCATGGAAGAGCATAAGCTAAGGTATCTTCAAAGTTTCATTCCTAGAACAGATCTAAGCATAGAGGAACTTGTTGAGACTGTGAGGACATGGGAAGAAAGGGCTAGGAACTGTTATGCAGAACCCTTAAAGCTTAGCAGCCACGATTTCGTAAAGATGATGATTATAGATGGAAGTTTCTTGGTTGAACTCATTTTGAAGTTTCGATACCCTGAGCTTGTAGGTGAGAGTGATCGGATATATAAAAAGCCAAGAATGGTTTATGATGTGGTCCGAGATATGATCTTGCTCGAAAATCAGCTTCCGGGTTTCGTCGTTAAGGCCATTTTCGGGCTGCTCTCTGTTCACTACCGAGAACGAATCCACCCCGAGATCATTCACCACTTCTTCGGTTTTGTCTTGAGCATGAACGGGTTTTCTCAGGGGAAGTTCATTTCAGAGCCAGACCACTTCATTGATCTTATAAGATCTCGTTGCCTGCCTTCTGTTCCGCATAGATCAGAAGCTCAGACAAAGAAGCTGGACACTCCACCAGCAGCAATAGAGCTTAACAATGCCGGAGTCAGATTCAAGCTGGAAAAGACCAGAAGCTATTCACTTGACATAAGCTTTGCCAATGGAGTCATCACCATTCCCACCATTATAATCGGTGATCTTACCGAAACCCTTTACAGAAACATCATCGCCTTCGAGCAATGTCACTACGAGTCTGCGTCTGATAACTACTTCACCCAATATGCCCTCTTGCTGAGTTGCTTCATGAAATCCGCCATGGATGCTGACTTTCTTGCTCGATGTGGGATTCTCGTGAACAGGCTTGGAAACGGAGAAGATGTCTCGAGGTTGTTCAACAGCATCTACAAAGAGGTATTTGTCAGCAGATTTTACTTTCAGACACTGTCTGAGGATCTGAATTCTTACTGCAACAAGCCTTGGAACAAGTGGAAGGCGACACTAAGACGTGACTATTTCAAGAATCCATGGTCGGTAGCTTCTGTTTTGGCGGCTGCTGTCCTTCTCCTTCTTACTTTCACACAGACTGTCTGCTCTATCTTGGCCTTGTGAGTATTATTAGTACCAGAGTGATCACTGCTTCTTATTGTATTATATTTTTTTTTTCATATTCTTTCAATTAATTTAAAAAATGTTGTTAAAGGACCCACCATAATTTAGCCTTTTTAGTTATATGAAATTGTAATAATTTTTAGAATTTCGGTAATATCAATTATTTTTTAAGTGGGCATCTAAAAAACTGGAGGCCTGGTATGCAATGGCTTCAATTTGGCCTGCTATATATAAAAACATTAAATAGGCATTGTCTGCCACGACCGTTGACTTCCTGTCCTTGGTCAAATTTGTTGAAAGTCTTGCTCCCAAGTTGCAAGAATTCTCCCCATATGTGATTTAGTTCTTAATGTTTTTAGGTCTTAGAAGAACACAGCAGAGGAGAAGGGGGAAAAATGGATTCCAAGGGGTCAAGTCTAAAATCCTCAGGTAATAAATCAAAGAAAAGCTGAAATCTCTGCCTCCTCTTTCAGAAGAGTGTTGCATCTACAGAGTGCCCGAGAGATTGCGTAGACTCAATCCAGAAGCATATTCTCCTCGTCTCGTCTCCATTGGACCTCTCCATCACGGTAAAGAAGAGCTTCAAGCCATGGAGGAGCATAAGCTAAGGTACCTTCAAAGTTTCATTCTTAGAACCGATCCAAGGGATAGAGGAACTTGTTGAAATTGTGAGGACATGGGAAGAAAAGGGTAGGAACTGTTATGCAGAACCCGTTAAGCTTTGCAGCGATGATTTCGTTAAGATGATGATTATGGATGGAAGTTTCGTGGTTGAACTCGTTCTAAGGGCTCGGTATCGTCGCCTTGTTGATGAAAATGATAGGATATTCTACAAGCCTAAGATGATTGACGATGCCTGTCGTGATCTCGTCTTACTCGAAAATCAGCTTCCGGTTTTTGTTGTCAAGGGCCTGTTCAATTTACTCTCTGTTCACTACCGACAAGGAATGCCTTCTTTCCCTGATCTCATTTCCCACCATTATCAGATCAGATCCCACGGGTCATCCGTGGTCAGACCCGGACCTTTTCGTCGATTTTCTGAGATCTTATTACCTACCTGCAGTTCTAAATAAGTTGGACGTTCATATAATGAAAGTAGACAATGCACCGGCAGTAACAGAGCTTCACAATGCTGGGATCAAGTTCATGCCTGAAAACACTACCAGTTGTCCACTAGACAGAGATTTTGCCGACAGAATCCTCACAATTCCCCGCATTGTCATCGACGATCTCACAGAAACTCTGTTTAGAAACATCATTGCCTTCGAGCAATTGCACTGTCTAGACAAGTTTTTCATCCACTACACCCTGTTGCTGAGTTGCTTCATAAAATCCCCCATGGATGCCGGCTTACTCGTCACCATGGGATACTCGTGAACAGTCTCGGGAACGATGAAGATGTCTTGAGGCTGTTCAACAGCATCTGTAAAGAGGTTGCCTTTGGTAGAAGATTTTACTTTCAGATACCCTCTGAGAATCTACACACTTACTGCAACAAGCCTTGGAACAAGTGGAAGGTGATGCTAAGACGAGACTATTTCCGCAACCCTTGGTCAGTTGCTTCTGTTTCGGCTGCTTTAGCTCTTCTCCTTCTTACCTTCATTCAGGTTGTGTGCTCGATCTTGGCCTTGTGAATACCCGAGATCCCCGTACATCTCGGTAAAGAAGATCTAAATGAATTTCGATATGCTCATGCAAATACGGCATTGTAATCAGTAAACATAGACAGCAATTCAGAAGGTTTGATATATATATATTGCTTAGCCTCTCTATTTAGTTTCCAATAGCTATTAGGTACATAATAACATCTCGAGAGGCGAGATGGGCTTAGAAGTTGTACAACATTGTCTTTTTTTTTTTAAGGTAGGGAACTGCTAAATGTGTTGAATTCTACCTTTTGTTACACCTTTTTTTTCCAAGTAAAGACATGAGCCTGGAAGCACCATGTCGTCAAACTAACCACGCTTACACGAGCTACAGACAGACAGACAACTTACACAGACGGCACGGGGAATTAACAGTGAAGAGAGGGAACATAAAATTCAATGTCTGAAAACTAAGAGGTCGATCACCTGAGTAGAAATGCTTAAGCCAGAGAGATGTGCTGACTTGATTATGATTAGGCCTTTTTTTTTTGTTATATATCTTCAGTTTTCATCTTGAGAAGAGCGACGTTACTCGTTCCTGGGATGTCAATGTTGCCACACTCTTGAACTGTCCATGGAAATAATAGATGATAGTTCATAAATTTAAGTGATGAGATCAACCAAAACCGGTAACTACAAGTGAAAACTGAAAACGAAATGAGAAGTTGTTGGTTTTGACGTTTCGTTTTGCGATGTTAAGTTATTATTCCTAACAGGAGAAGACAGGAGGAATATGTACCTTTTGTTGTCTGTATTTCTCGCGGATAGAGTTGAGGGGGCAGCTGCTGGTGTTTAACTGCAAATCCTCCATTGCAAGTACCGTCCTTCTCAGCTCGGGTGCACCATATCTAGTATAGTGCTGAAGAGTTGGATTCTGTAACCAATAGTATCTGTATCAGTAATTTTCCCAACCAAAAGAAGATCAAGAAAATGTTTTTGTAGGAGGAAAAAAAACACGAGCGGACCCAGGGATAGTCAGACTGGTCGAGTGTCCATCTGGCTAAGAAAACGGCTGAAGCGGCAATTAGGGATGGTAAGGATCCTAGGAAGTTATATTCCAAGAGAGTCAGTTCGGCAAGATAGTTTGCTAAGAACTCCAGTTCAATGCGGGGAACCTGCACGGTAATAAAAACGAGTCAGATCAGTTTCAGAGATCCTCTGATATACTGATTTTTCCAGAAATGGGAGAAAAATGTTGGGTAATGGTTCCTTTCATTGTTTTAACACCTTGTAAGACGCTTGTGCTGCTTGAACAAACCGCCTGAAAATAATGTTCAGTAAAAAACAGGATGAAAATGAGCAGTACTGTTTTGAACAAAGTTGGAATAAGATATGGTATGAATCGGTCCGCCATTCGTATTTACCTGAGAAATGTTTTTGTGGTGGGAACCGATAACTGATAGTGCAGATAGTTCAACACTTGGATCTCCATGTTCAGCACCTGAAAATGCAGGTTCTCAGTCATGAGGAATCTTTTCCACGTCGATGGGATTGAGATATAAACATAGTCGGTGTGTTTACTTCTAGTCTTGTGTATGTGTTGTCCGTGATGAAGCAAAATTCCTCCACTCGCGGCGCACAAATCTCTTCATATTTTCTTCATGGTCCAATATAAAGGTGCAAGGAAAAATGCCTTAGTGTTTTCAAGAAGCAAAATTAGATATTGAATGTGAATGAACCATAGAATACATTTTGCTAATTTTGTTCCTAGACCCATCTGAAAGCTGAACCAGAAAGAAAATCAATGGGCTTAAAAACACTCATGGATATAATCTAAGGCTCATTCTATTTTTAAACTGTTTTAGGAGGAAATATTTTTCCTATGAAACGAAAAAGTTCTATTCACCAAGTAAATTTATTTACAGCAAAGGAACTCGAGGAATAGATTTACCACACTATCTGCCAAAATCCAAAAATGGAACACATGAAACTACTCAGGCCTTAGAGAGAAGAGACCACAGAGAAATATCTCCTAACTCCAATCTGAAAAAACTTGTTCATGTGGACAGTAAAAAACCAAATACACCCATCAAAACAGCAGTCCTCAAAATCGTAAATGCCATTTCGCAGCTTGTATAAGTAGGAACTTACGAGGCTATTAGCATGCAAGTGACACCAAGTAGCTGGAGTCTACTTTTCCCGATATAATTGTGGGACAAAAACCGATCGATAAGATTCACGGTAAGGTAAAGCGTGTCTGGAACCAGCTTGTACTCTTCAGTAACCTGACAGAGATAACAATGATAGACAAGATTTTTCATAGTTGCTCAAAGGGAAAAATAGTTTCATGCTTTGGAACAACAATTGACAAGGACAACCGTGCACAAGAAAGTTTTACATCTCATTTTATAAAAACGTATGAACATAACGAGGCAATTCAATGAAAATTATTCATATAGAGGTAATGGCCATTCAAATCAACGTATGTGCACAAAATTTTAAGTGACCAACCTCAACAAGCCAGTCAACCAGAATCCCACGCATGCTTGGATTGATATCTCGCTGCACCTTCTCCATATAATTAGTTGAAGGCCTTTGTTCAAGCTGTGAGAAAGGAAGGTACTCCCAAACTGTTATATATACTTTTAATTCTTGATAGACTATGTGCTACGACAAATTTTCTGCTTCTAATGTGTGTAAAGACATAGAAATGAACAAAATCTGTTGATCAAGGAGTTCAATTCAAACCTCTGCGACTCTAACATTGTGAAATATGTCGGGCGCATAGAAACTGCAACACCGAGGATCTTTAAAGTTTGAATCAATATCTAACACCTGAAAACAATCTATGGATCTCTGTGTGTCTTCTTCTGCACAATCCAGTAAAAGAAGCGTTAGCAACTGAGAAAAAGCCAGAAACAGATAAATCACATCATTTTAGTATTGCATTTCTAACGAAGTGGAGCCTTAAGAGCCCACAATGATAAACAAAACACTATCATGAATAGCAAATACTATACATTTTGGTGTCTGTTTCAATCTTTTCGATCCAGGGAATAGAGATCCTAGAAGGAGATGCAACAAGATATCCCAGATAATACCTTCTCGAACAAGTCTGAAATATTATCCCAGTTATTAATATGGTTCTCACTCTTTTTTACCTTTCCTTGTTTCAAAGTTCAGTGCATTAATACAAGACATGCAAACAATGGATAAACCAGACTCTGGACAGCAGAACCGGCATGGCAGTGATCACATAAAAAATACGATAAGTCAGTCTTTACCTTTGGATTTGCGCACACGACAAGTCATATCCTGCAGGGTGACTTGTCCCTCTTTGGATATTGGAACAGAAACATCTTGGGGTTCAGCCACTCTGATCTTTGATAGGTCTTCTGCTAATTTCATTTTTTCTGCATCCACATCCACCAGAATTTCCATGGAAGCATCAGCATCTCCTTTTGCTTTTTCATTAGGGTCTTTTCGCCCTCGCTTGCTAGCCTGTCAAATCATGTCAGCAAGAAGGAGCCTAGACGCTAGAGGCAGTATGTCATATGGAATCGAATAGTGAGAACCTCACCTTAACATTGCTTCCCTTCAGACAGTCCGTATAAATATTCTCTGAAGAAGTATTAGTTACGTCTTTGAGTACTGCTCGTCTCTTATGCTGAAGGCCAGAGGCCGCAGTTGTAGAGGGTTTATTGTCATCCGATGCTATTCGTTTATGACTCACTCTAGGAATACGTTTCGGTTCCTGTTTAAAAGAGGGTTTTGATGGAGGCAGAGCTCCTATGGAAGACCCCAATGCTTTAGCTCGTGATCTTGTTATTCGCACATTAGTTTCTTGGACATTTGATGTATGGATGTTTTCTTTGTCTGCATTTTGATGTCTTGAAGAAGAGCTATGCATAGTTTCAACCCTGAAAGCTTAGTGGTCTGACAAGCCTGCACATGAATATAGTTACAGCCATTGCACGTCAAATTTTGGTCCTAGAATTGCCTCAAAGACGAAATGGGAATTAGAAAACAGGGCAAGTTTCAAATAGGCATCAAAATGATAGTTATTTGTAATACAAAACTATCATGAGATTGCATCAGTTTCCATTACACAGTATAACAGGCAGAGGCAGTGTACACAGATCATGGAAGATGAAACTTTTGATTATTACCACTTCTCCGGACCAGATCACAATTTCACACATTTCAGACAGCCGAATGAAACCTTATTCGGACAAACATATGTAGTGTCTTAGTATTACACGTTTCTTCCATCTAATGGATCGTCTGCGGATCCCATTTCTTTGCAGAAAACAGAGATACCACAGTAGTAAAGCATTATAAACAATTCACTCCCCAAAAACCCCGTTTCCATGATTCGAAACCGGAATTACTAAGCATTATCCATCGCATTTCCGCAACAATCACGAGTTCCGAAGAGATCGATCAACATCACGAACGGCAAGCCGCATGATACGCAAAAATTCCGTGAAATTCATCAAAAACGACGAACGTCAAACAAAAGCAAGCAAACGAGAAACCAAACCAGCGGAAAAAACAAAGAGAGAGCTCACGCGTAGATAGAACATCCGACAAACAGATCCACAAACCGGAACCTCATACTTGTTGATAAACAAACTCAACCGATGCAAAAGAAAATCGAAACCAAGAGACGATTTCAGGAAGCAATGATGGGGGAAAACAAAAACAAAAAAACACGAGAGACACCAAATGACGTGGGTACATAAACGTACCTAGCTCAGATCAGCGGTTGAGAGCTTCCGACTACCTCCAATGGCGGTCCAGAGAAGCTCCACAGCTAGGGTTCTAGCGAGCGAGAGAGAGAGAGAGAGTTGAAATAGGTGGAGGGGAGCGGGGTGAGCGAGCGAGCGAGGAGTGAGCGGGGCAGTGATACTGTTTGAACTTCCAAATTTTAGACAAAATTAAAAAAAAAACAAAAAAGAAAAAAGAAAAAAGAAACTTCGAATTTGGACAAATCCGATTTTAAATTTTTTTTATTTGCTTTTTTAGGATTTTATCATTTTTGCCAGAGACTACAGAGTTTCTCTGTCATTTTGACCCCCAGTTGGGTAAATCATATTTAATCTGGGTTTTACTCGCCTGTAAGTGCGTGTACGATAGATCAATACTCTAAGCCAATCATCCATTGCGGGCTTTAGATTTACACTTCTCTCTTCAATTGGGGCCCGTTTACATTTTTCACATCTCGGTACTAGAAAGCCGTCAAATATCCAATGTGAACTGTAAGTAAATTAAATGGAAAATTGGCTGGCTCGAAATGTAAAAAATAAAAAATAAAATAAGCATGAATTATTGGTATAAAATGGAAAGTTGGATAACAAAACGAAACTTTTGTTTATACCAAAATTTATATATTCAAATTTTAAAAATGGTATATTTCTTCCCTTGATTGGAAATCACACTTAGGAATATTTTCTGATTATGCATAAAATACTTATTATTACGTAAAAGATATCAGATAGGTTTTGGAAATATAAATTAAAATCCAATAGTCGTTTATATTATTTTTTTTTCTAAATTTGTGGGTTTCTAATATCGTAAGAAATTCGACCGCTAGTTTTCCGAAACTTTGAATGGGGAAAATAAACAAAACCGTGGACTGCCACAGAATCTCTTTTTATTGAATGAAAGCTATCTTTTATGTTATGATATTTATTTATCTTTTACCATTTATTCTTTTTATGAAATAAATTAATTCACGACTGAAATAAAAATTAACTAGTTTAGTGGAAAAAACATTAAAATCTACAATAATTTTTGTAATTGTATAATAAATGACTAACACAAAAATCAAATATAAAACAAATATGCTACACGTAGTTTGTCGGCTATTGCGTGGAGTCTGAGTGGATTTATTGTCTGCGATATCGTGTCATTTGTCCGGCCTAAAGACGTTACGGTATTCGGCGCGAAGGGGCCGAGGCGGGTTTCCAAAAATTAAAAAAAAATGCATATATATATATATATATAGGTGGAAAGACTATAGTTAAATGGTAATATAAAATTCAAATGGACCTACTTCTACTTAGTAATGCTCAATTCAACATATACTAATTATTTTATAATTTCGATAATTTAAAAAAAAAGGTCAAACGCTCTTGGGAGGGACCTCTTCCTCCAATGGAAAAATCAACCCGACAAAGTTATGAAGAATCTAAACCACTTCCACAAGTTGTACGGCTCGTAACAGTAATCTAAGTATCGAATCCCACGTAGAGGGAACAAGTGTTATAGAAAGCCTCTCAATTTTCAGGACAACACAAAAACGTAAATTCAGTTTCGATCTATAAAATCATTTTTATTTTTATTTGTAAATTCTAATTTAATTTTATCACATTTTCCATAAATAAAAAGTAAGTCTATAATATAATGCACTAAAAGGTCACAATTAGGCCAATTAGCGACCAATATACTATATATTGTGTGCGTGAGGCTCTGTGTATAACAGGACTTCCGACACAAATTTAATTTCTTAAACTCAAAGTCCCCTGGGGGCAAGATTCAAATAATGAAAATAGTGGGGTCAAATCGAGAACGTAAGAAAACGCTTTCAAAATACTTTGGGCCGAATAAATTGTCTGATTGAGCCCAAAGTATATACATGCGCTTTCCAGATTCTCCATAGAAGCCCAATAGATGAACTCTTCTGTGTAATTTTATCGTGACCGTCCACTCATATCGGATCTTTAATCCGACGGTAGCTAATTGCATTCCACATGTACATCGCCGCACCGAATCTTTCCCATATCTCATCAAAATTCAAAACCCCTACTAACATTCTTCGGACCCACCGTTGGCCACGGTTCGTTCCAATCTAATTTCTTAGAATAACTATGAATCCAATGTACATTATTTCTGTAATTATAAAGATTCTTCCAATATTATAAATTTGTATGGTTTCAAACTAAGACTATACTACATTTTTATTCAGCTTGCTTAGGGCTTCCAAAAGTCCAAGCGTGATCATGTTAATCATCCAATTTTATCGATTTCACACGTACATACATATACACAGACGTACATACATATACACAGAGACGGATCTACGTTATAAGGAGTGGGGTTACTAGCCCCCACTGTTTTTTTTAAATATATTAATTATAAAGTTTACTAAAATTTTAACCAAAATGTGTTAATGTCCCCCGCTGAATTTTATCATGGACCCCACACCATTTAAATTATTTATATATATTCTGGATTACTGGCCCTATATATCTAATTAAAAAAAATGTTAAATTTTCTAAGAAATTTTGTAAAATTACAAAGAATAGAAAAATGTCAAATTGCTAAAATTTGATTTTAAAATTAAATGCATAAAATTTTACCCTCATTTATAATATTTTCTTGATCGGCCTATGCATATACATATATAAGAATCTCGGACCAAGACACGTGGAATTAAGAGATTATGGGATATTGAGAGGTCCATCTCACTCTCATCCTACAAAAAAAAAAAGATGACATATTCAGTTTTGAAAAATTTGTCAGCTAAGGTGAGGCTGCTCAATAAAGCAACGTACCACTGAGATATTGCAAAGGATGTGGGGCCCAGAACTATTATAATATAATATAATCAATAAATATATATATACACATATAAGAGAATTTTTTGATTTAATTATATTAAGGTGTTAAGAATTGATAACTCTCAATCATATGTCATCATCACTTCATCACTACCCATAGTCAGTCTTCGACGTGAAAAATGGCAGACACCAGAGCACCGCCATCTATATATATGTATATATATATATATATATATATATATAGAGGCGTGTGTGTGGATATAGAGTATTATTAGAAGAATATAACTCACTCCAATACTTAATTTTGATGATTTAAATTAATTTATATAAAACTAATATTAACTCTAAACATGTTTTTAATATGTATAGATTATTAGTAAGAAAATTTAACAATAGAATTTTTTTAAAACCCGGAACTATATCATATATATATATATATATGTGTGTGTGCGCGCGCGCTTATATAGCTGAAAATAATTGAAAATAAGTACATGCAAAATGGAGACCCATATATATGTCCGATGTGTTATCTCACGTAGTGCGATGCATGGACTCAACAAATAGCGGAAGAGCAAGTTGAAGGATTTTATAATTATAATTGTTATATTATCAAAGGTACAATTGCGTGTGTGTATATATATATATATATAAATAGGCCACAGGTACAACTTCTATTCCCATGCATGATCCTCTGTGTCCACAGGCTCCACTTCCCCCCTTAGCCTCACTCGCCTCTCTTGGCGCGTCAACTCTATTTGTTAATTTTTTTTTTTTAATCTAGAGGTTCAACTCAACCTACATCCCCTCATATTCGCAGTCTTTAGAGTAATTGGCGATGGAGGCCCAAAGAGCAACACCCTTTCAACAAGTAAATACACTCCTCCCTTCCCAACAGCTGGATTTGAACAGTCGACCGGGACCCAAAGAGCAATACCTTTTCGATCATTCGCCCACTGTTTCTTCAATTGTAGATATTATAAATTTGTATTCACGTTATTCTCCTTTTTGAATAAATATAAGTATTTTATGGATATTTGAATCCTGAATTTTTTTTAAGGAAATCATAAAAGAAAGTGTAAAAATGTAACATTAATAAATATATAGGTATATCCAGAAATTAAAATGTGTCATTTCAAATTTCCAATCATTGACATCATGTAAAAATATAATTGTATTTCAAATTTTGATCTAACGATTTCAAATCACTTTTAATCAAATGATACAATATTCAAATAAGAACATACGTCTTTAGAATAATAGCAATCCAACAGTTACCAATTTTTTAAATTTATTACGATGATTATCAATCTTTTATATTAAGAATGAATACACAATTTTTATTTATAAAAGAAATATGATTTTCCATTCATATATTTTTTATTTAGAAAATTTAACATATATTACTCTAAATTTATATGTCCTTTTTATTTATTTTCTTTTTAATTTTGGAATTGAATTTTTGAATTTTAATGTATCATATTAGAAATTTTTACATTGTAAAATAAATGGAAGGAGTCATTTATAATTGTTTATTTTCTAAAAAATCATGTGAAAAGTGTCAAAACAATAAAAACATGTGTCAAGATTTAAATAACACATATTCATATATGTAGTAGCTATACTGAATATATATATATATATATATGTATGTATCTTCTCACTATATCATTTTTCAACCTGTCGCTAGAAACTGCTGAAAGGTGTGAGTCAGGAAGGTGCAGCTAGGCTTCAGAGGTCGAGATGTAAAATTAAATGGACAAGTAAATGATCAATCAATAATTGTGAAAAACAAAATATTATATAATACGAAAATAAAAACGCAAACGAAAGGAAGATGATGTCAGCGACTGAGTTGCCGTAACGCGTGCGGAGAAAATTATTTTTTACTCGGAATTCAAAAATAAAATAAATCTTATTTAATTATTATTTATAAATTAACAACATTTTAATGGTTTTGCGTAAAAAAAATACTGTCCATGAATTTTTTTATTACCAACGTACACTATTATTAATTTATTGAACTCGATGAACGCCAGATAATAGATACACAAGTTTTCTTATAATATAAGACTAAATTTTACTATATATAGTAAAATATTCTCTGCAAAAATAATTAATATTAGTACATATAATTCTACGTCATTCTTAACTCAAAAAAGTCAATAACGAATTAAAGCATAATTTTGTCCCAAAAAAGTGTATAAATTTAAGATATATGTCCTTTGTGTGGGCGTATTTATGACGTAAGCATAAAAAGTGTTGAAGAGCGAGTCGTGTCTGTCTGATAGTTCTCGACTCGTACGAAGATGATACAAAACCTTCAGAACTCATCATTACCGATGAATAATAAAAATACATTATATTGAAAAACGTTTGAGAAATTAAAAATGTTGGATCGCATAATACATTTTTCACTTGCAATATATATATATATATATGTATATATATATATTCACTACAAAATATTATTTTTATTCTCATGTGTTGTATCCTCAACAATCATCATCTGTCTATTTCATGTCAAAATGATGGCGAAATCATAAACCTATATCCCAAAACCTAATTAGGCTTATAGCTGATTATATATATACTTATAATTTTGTCGTAGAATATATATTATACACATTAACACAATTACTCTAGAAACAGAACATATATATACAGAAGAGAGGGAGAATACTGTATGCTATGCATGCATTTGATTATCTATTTATATTTCTCACATTCTCATGTGATTTGATCAATTAAATTAATATTAATGGCTTTATAAAAGAAATATATTAAAAACTCGTTACGGCTAATTATAACCATATTTGGGAGGCTATAGTATTATTATTATCATCGGACTAAACATACGTATCTATTTTTCCTTCAATTTTAGAAGAAACAAAAATCAAAATAGCGAATAACTTTTACGGTGAATTTAGAACAACGATTACACAAAAGAAAAAGGAGTTTAAAAAAAAATTACACAAATGTACCGTGACTAGCAAAATTCTTGTAATTTACATCACGAGCTATAAAGACCATTGATAGTTATACTTGATTTCCATTTATAAGGGCATTATTAATAACGTTATTTTTCATGCCCTCAATTTCCATCCACTGCCCCGCTATGTCGCCGGCGATCTTGACGGCGTCAGATGACGTTCCCAGCATCCCTCTCCTCGTGAAACCAACGGCGTACAATCCGTTATCTCCTTTCCATCCGTTGGGAAACGGCGTCTTTGGCATTCCTTCCTCCGTGAAAAAGTCACTCCCCTGCAATGGCAACGCAAATGCAAAAGATTATTATTATTATTATTATTATTATTATTATTATTATTATTATTATTATTATTATTATTATTGTTGTTGTTGTTATTATTAGAGATAGAAAGCGAAACGACAGATGAATTTCTGTACATATATATATATAACAAAAGAGGGTATTAATAATGTTATATAATCAATTGTATAAAATAAATCATAATAATTAATTAAATTATTAGGGGGGAGAAAGCGAAACAACAGAAGAATTTCTATATAATGGAAGAAGCCAAAACTGTGGCCTCAGAGGTTTTATTCCATTTTGCATGGAGAAAAGAGGAGTTTTGGACTTTTTCTCATCTTCCTTGCATGTATGTAGTGTCCTAATCATAGAAAGTGATGGATGATTCTCAATAATATATATATATATATATATATATATATATATATATAACACTCAACATATACTAATTATTTTATAATTTCAATAATTATATAAATAAATACGTCATCGGCATCGTCATATATAATATATACCTTGAGCCAGTTGGGCACATTGCTCTTATACCCCGTCGCCAATATTATTGAATCGAATTTCATATATTTTCCATCCAAAAACTTCGTTCCATTTTTTGTGATCTCCTTCACCCCTTGCATCACCTGAAAAAAAAAACAGCAAGACACCTGTTTTAGGACACAAAAATATATATATAAAAATTCAAATATTCACTCCAACTCTATTAAAATAACCTAAAATTGCTAAATATCAGTTTGCCATCAAGATCAACATGTTAAAAGGGCCAAGAAAATCATTAGAAGCAATGATTATTTAATGACAGCAATTCATAAGAAAACGTTACAAGAAATTTTTATGTGGTGTATTGGATATATATATATATATATAATAAATCGTATAATATAAAGATACAAAGCCAAGTACCCTAATTTTTCCGGATTTGATCAAAGATATGGCACCGACGTCGAGGACCGGGGTTTTTCCGGTGACGTTCTTGAGCTGAATAGGTCCGGTTTTCGGCCGCCGGAGGCCGAATTTATCGGTATTTCCCAGAGTGAGATTAGCGAGAAGCACTAATAAGCTGTCCACAAGCTTTAGAGGGAACCATTTGAGAAGCGTCATTGCTATCCCGAACGTCGACACTCCAAAAAACTCTCTCGGTAACACATGTACCTGCGCCGAGGAGAAATCGAATATTTCAAATCACAATTAAAAAGCGTTTTATTTAATATTAAAATGGCATACTAATAATAAAGCATAAATAATGATAATAATTAAAAACGTGACTCACAGTGTTCCTAACGACCATATGAGGCAGAGCGTTGTGGCTTGAGAGATCCAAGCATACTTCCATACCGGAATTCCCACTCCCAATCACCAAAACCCTCTGGTATGCGAACTCTAAACCGGACTTATACACACTCGTGTGAACCACCGGCCCGGTAAACTTCTCCAAACCGGGTATATCCGGAACCACCGGGTCGGCGTTTTCCCCTGTTGCCACGACAAGCCATCTCGACGTGTATTCTCCGTCTTGCGTCGTCACCCTCCATAACCGAGAACCGGTATCGAATTCGGCTTTCTCGACCGTTTGGTTAAATTTCGGGTTTATACCGAACCGGGCGGCGTAGGATTCAACGTAGGAGATGAATTGATGCTTGGAGGGGTATTTCGGGAAGTTTTGGGGGAAACCCATCAGTGGAAGCTCGCAGAAGTGTTTCGGGAGATGGAGCTTGAGTCGGCTATAGGTCCGGTTCTGCCATAGAGAAGCTATGCAATTAGATTTCTCGAGGATAAGCGATGGTATACCCCGGTTTGACAAACAGGCCGCGACGGCTAAACCGGAAGGGCCCGCCCCGACGATGATCGGACCGCGAACGAAGGTTACGTCTTGTGATTGTTTATCCACGACGCTGAGAGAACCCATGTCGGAAAATCAAGGAAAAAAAACAGAGTAGCGAGTAAAAAAAGCTGCTAGCTTTATCAGTACAAGCCTAAGAGGCTCTGTCTTAGGGTCTCTTCTTGATTGTTTTTCTCGGGAAAATCCAAACAAAACGAAGTGGGAAACTTAAAACAGATTGGAAAACGAGAGAGAGAGTGGGTTTAAATGAAAAACAGAGTGTCTGAGACTCTGAGTGTGTGTAACTGAGAGAGAAATGAGTTTTAATGCAACAGAGAGAGAGAGAGAGAGAGAGAGAGAGAGAGAGAGAGAGAGAGAGAGAGAGAGAGAGAGAGAGAGAGAGAGGAGGCGTGAGAGAAAAGGAAAGGATTTTGGGATCGTGTTTTTCAATGCTAAGTGTTGATTACTGGGTTGTTCATCTTCTTCGTGTTCCTGTTGTGTGGAGACTGGAGAGAGAGAGAGAGAGAGAGATTGAGTGTAATGGCTTAGATAGCGTAGGAGCAGGCCAAAGGGAGAAGAATGGCGCAGGTATTAAATATGCCTCTGGAAAATCTTCGGCAAAGATTCTTCTATTATTAGTCAAACTTTTAGTTTTAAAACATCAATAGATTGGTTCCAAATTGAGGTGTATCCCTCCTCCCTGAAAAAAAAAAAGATAATAATTATACGAATTCATTTAATATATCACAAATTCATTACCTAAATCTCTATAACTTAAATCATTTCAATTTAGTAATTTTCCTCAAATACTCACATATTTAATGTGTTCACACATTATATAAATATAAAATGTGTGTGAACACATTATATATATGCATATATAGCTAATGCTGTGATAAACAGGAAAAGGTATCAGATTGTTTTGTGAATTTATTTGATAATTTTGATAGATATAATGAACCATTAGGTTTTTTAACAACAACAACAACAAAACAAAACAAATAATAATAATAATAATAATAATAATAATAATAATAATAATAATAATAATAATAATAATAATAATAATAATAATAATAATAATAATAATAATAATAATAATAATAATAATAATAATAAAGTAAACAATGCACGAAGTCTCCGACTCTATTTAATGGCCGGCGAAGAAAAGACCGAAGTTATTGGGTATATATATTTAATATGGATGGTATTACCGAAGATTAATCATAGACAATTGTTTAATGATGTTTGGTGGATCAAATATCTTGTGGTATATATCATTTGTGCTTTTTATAGCGCGGATGAAATTGCAAACCGTGTTCGGCATTTGCATTTATAATTTTCAATGTAAAACTTGATATTTTTACCTAAATAAATTATAAAATGAATTTTTAAAACCTACAAAATATTTATAAATACTCTATATCATCCTTTTTGTTGATATTTATGTCATTGTTTAAAATATCCAAAAAGTCAAAAATAGGCTTTAAATAATCTCAACATATCCATTCAAAAATATTACGGATTAATATTAGTAATACCATATAAAACCAATAAAAATTTCAATGCAATATTGTTTGGAAATAGATAAATTTGCTTTGAAAACAAGATTTCCAAACAAATGTGACACAGAATTGTGCTTTGAAAATTCGGATATTTTTAAAATAGCATTAGAAATATAAAACAACTGTGATGCAAATTTGCATTTTATACTAATGATGCATATTTCAACACAAATTAGTATTCGTAAAGTTAATGCTACCCCAACATAAATACTCATTAGTATTTGTAATGAAATTCCAAATAGAAATTTTCAGAGAAAATTATAATGCAATATATAATCATTAACTATAGAATTAGTAGCTATAATTTGGGTTAAATTTGCAATGGAAGTTTTAACTAAGTGCATGAACAATTTTGTGGCTTTTTTTTTTAAATTTAAATTGTGTTATAATTTGCATATTTCCCATAAAACTTCTAAAAATGGTAACGCATTTTACATCTTCTATTGTAATTATATTATCATGTAATTTTCCAAAAGAACAGAATTCTATTCATATTTATATAATTAATTATATATATTTTGAACATAATTTTGATTTGATAATGATACATATACAATTTATACATAAACTAATATAAAACCAAACTAAAATGTTTCCCAATAATTTATATATAATAGAAATATATTTAGAATATCATCTAAAATCATAAAAATAAAAATAAAAGACGTGCAATTTATGAATATATGCAAAGCCTTACAAGACGATATAGCGATTTTTTTTAGTTTGATGAATATACAGATTCTAGTAATTAGTGAAAGATAGTAAACAGTACTAACCCTTTGAGATGGGAAAACAACAAAGATGAAATATTGAAATAAAAAAAATTTTGCACAATTACAAGTGATAAGGACACTAATTAAGCTTCCTAAATTTGTTTCTTTAATGATTGTATTTAAATTGACACTAATTGAAATGGGTCTAAAATCATAAAACAAGGATCGTTCGACGTCAAAAATTTGAAAATGATTGAAAATCAGTGGGGATGTACGCATTGACGGTTTAAAAAAAAACAAGAGAATAAAACCAAATAAAAGACAAATCAAGGGTTGCATTTGTTATTTTCATTAGCATGTATTACAAGAAAACACTATAATTCATTAAATAAGATCGAGAAAATAAAAGGAAAATTAAAGAGAAATAAAAAGAAATGATTATGGCTCAATTGGCATAAAATGATTAAAGTTTTTTATCTAATCCATATTCGAGTATCCATTTTTAGAGAGATAAGAGATATTCACATATTTTTTTCGGTTTTCTAAAAGATTTAAATGAAACAAAGTATTTGTGAAATTTCGGATTATAAACAAATAAATAAATGAAATGATTTGAGAAAACAAATCTAATAATTAGAGCATCGATGTCCAAAGCTGGGTTGACAATACGAGGACAGGGAAAACTCAAAGTGTAAGACTGTTGGTCAACGGGAAACAAGGGGATCTTGTGGGGGAGGAGGTCAATGGAAGGATCCTGTTTGGATACGGGATCTAACGAGTCCCGAGTTGAGATTATGTTATTCCAACACGGGATATTTCATGCGAGTTATTAGTCATATGAAGAACCAAGAAATCCGGTTGTGTGATTTTTTCATAACTTTTACGTTGTTGGAAACCAATATTAATATTTAGCTAATAACTGACTCATAAATTTATATAATCGAAACGAATTCAAATACTTCGACTATAAAATAAGGTTTAATTCGGAATTATAATCAAATAAACTCCGATTTTATACCACATATTGGATATATATCATGTGGCACCTCGATGAGTTTGCGATCAATATAATTGGAAACCCGATTATGATATAACTGTGGTAATATTTTATTTGGGCTCCTACCGAAAGTTTACAGAGGTGAAGGGGAAACGGATAATTAAAGTTGAAAAAAAAAATTAATGTAATTAAATGTCTAATGATATAATTAATGAAGATCTTTTGCTTTAACAAAGGTCTAAAAAAGGCCTTCTGACCTGTAGTTCCATCATTAGAATGTATAGAGGACTTAATAATTATCAAAGCATGATAAATTAAACCTTAAGCAAGAGGAAAAGCCTTATTAACCCCCCATTATGCTTTTCTTTTTCTAGAAATCCAATATATATGTATGTATATACACTAAAATACATACCATATATATATCATGAACTGAATATATTGTTTCGCTATATAATGAATTTATATTTGTCTACGCTAGAAATTATATATATACGGTGAATGGAGACAATCTCCCGCAAGGATTTAGAATATATATATATATATATATATATATATATATATTTGTTTTATTAAAATATCCGCCATATATCATATGATGCTATCGTTTATTTCTACCAACACATAAACTGAAAAAATGCGTGGATTTTTTTTTTTTATCGAAAATGGAACGGGTAATATTAATTATCATTTGGTGGGTGGATATTTGTGGTTTGAACATATGTTAATTAGTGGAAATATAATATTAGCATATTATTAGTGAAGCTTTCAACCAAATCCAAATGCTAATGAGCATGCATGCATGCGTTGTTAAATGTCAAACTAATGCCGCCGCCCTCCACTTCCTTAACTCTCCCCTAGTTTCCATTCAAAGCCTCTTTTTCCCCCCACAATGTTTCATGTGAAGTCATGATGTTTTATTCAGTTTCCTCGTAATTTCGGGTGCTCCAAATAATATATGTTTTGTCGATACGCATATATATACACTTAAATATCGACGACTATAGGGGAAGACCGTTGTAAGGAGTATGGTCAATATATCGAGAGAACGAGGGTTCGATTCTTTACTTGTTTACCTGTTGTCCATTAATTACGACTGATTTAATTACCTATGTATGTGTCATAGATTCGTATAAATGAGCGGCGGCTCAACAAACGTTTTTCTATTATGGACAAGTTTCAAATAAATATTACTCTCTCCATTTTCTAAATAGAGGTGGTTTGGAAATTTTTTTTTGTTATTTAATATGTGTCATTTTAAAAAAATCCAATTTTATTCTTAATTAAAAACATTAATGTAATATTAAAGTCACGTAATTTAATGAGGGTAAAGATGACTCTTTTTTTAATGTTTTCTTAAAATTATGGGATCTTTAATATTATAAATTCAGGTTAATTATGCCGCCCCGAGAGATGCGATGATAATTGCGATTTACCTACTCAAGATGCAGTTTTTCGAAGCTAATGTAATTAATAAAATAATTAGATGTATTAAGCATAATAGGTTTGAACACGTAACCTTCTCATTAACCTTAGCAAGGATATTTATACAAGTGTATTAGGGTTAACTATACTCCTGATAATTACATATATAACCCTATAAAGCATGGTGGTGGCAAAACCAATGATTAATGCATGTTAGACGTAATTGTTAATGACTTGTATTCGACCACATATCGTGGACAAAATCTCATCCTATACGAAAACCATATCCATATAATCATAGATTTATAATCGTGAATCGCATAGTTATCATTAATTTATAAATCGCCAATTTAACGTCTTCATGAAATATTAATTTTGAAATTCGACTATATATACGTCATTTATACACGAAACATGCGTCCGAATTGTAAAACATATATAAGCTATGTATGAGAATGATGTTTTCCATGAATCTTCTGAATAATTAATTGAGATTACCTTCAGTTTTTATCAAAATATATCTGTTAGAGGATTTTTTGTATTATTCATTTTTATCTTTTTATGTTCTTCAAGTCTCTTTTTTTTTTTTTTGTCAAAGTTCTTCAAGTCTCTTGCATATATTAATTATTTAGACTTTTATTATATATTTTTATGCGTAGTATTTATGTTATATAGAATACTATTTTATTGATTAATTATATTATTGATAAGGAGACACATTATTAGGTTGGCCGAAATAGTATCCCATGCTAATTTAAATTAGAATATACTTGTTAATTTCATGATTAACAATATTTAAATGATGAACATGCCATGCATAATGCATTTTACATCTCTAATAAAATACTCCACATGCATCTCTCACGCGCCTCATGATTAATTTTAGATTTACCTTTCTTAAACAATAAGCCTAAGGATATATATATATAGAATGAAATAATTCGTAGAAATTGCGTATAATTATAACGTTATCAATGTTATTGACTATGTTAAGAGCACGGCTAGATTTAAATACATAAAACCCGTTTGTGGTTATATGTGTTGTGTTCCCAAATTAAAAAAAAAAATGGGATATGGATCTCGTTGTCTCCAAATTTAAAAATATTTATTACAAAATACAATTATGTTTGTAAAAATATTGCCTGGTTTATATATTTTTCTATAAGATCCTGGGTTATATTTTACTACAATTGCAATAGTTTTTACATTTGATAAAATATTCATTTCCACGTAACAATAATATTAAAAATGGATTTGAATCCATACTTCTTGATAAATCAATACGACTACTGCTCAATGAATTAGCTCGAGTTCCCCATGGATATATATTATTAATTCTGGCAATATGAACGGTAATATGGACGGTAAATGTTGAGGATTTTGAATAGTGTGCGTATATATATAAGTTGTAATAAATAAAAAATATTAGTTTTTACAGTGGCGTGGGGGTAAAATACAGAGAATAGGAAAATGGTCCATGCATGGAGAGGGACGAGGAATATATATATAGGAGGGGGCATCTACGATCGATGTGTAAGGACCCGTGGGCCCCGCGGAGAGCGTCATCTTCCCATGTCTTCTTCTTCCTCTGCGATATCATCTGACTCACTGCCTTCGGAATTTCCCTGCCAGTCTCTTCAATTTATCCTTCAATTTGTCCCTCCTTTTAATTTATTTATTTTCTTAATTATATTTTATTCCATCCTTTGATCACATGCATGCGTGCATGCGCACATAACACTATTATTATTCAATCGTATACGTAACCATACGTTATATATATTTTAAAGGGGTAGACCGTTTAATTAGTGTCGTGTTTATAAAAGAAAAAAAAATGTGCAGTGTTCTCCCATATGAGCATTTGCGTCGAATCAACAAACACAAAACAATATATATATATATATATATATATATATATGTAGATATATATATGTATGTATATAATGCGTCAGCAAACGTGTGCAGATATGGAGTTACTCTTACAAGGGAATGATGTACATGTATATGAGATGCATATGTGCATGTGTTGTTTGCGTGTGAGATCGTAATCACGGGCATCTGTTTTGTTCAGAGAATCTGAACTCATCTTTTGTCCTTAGGGTTTTTGTTTAGGCTCTCTCCCCACTCTTCTTCTCTCGCAACAAGTGGAATGCATAATTCCAATATTATATATATAATATATATGTCATTCGCCTGTTTTTTTTTTCTATTTAAAATCTGCACATTATGTTGATAAATATTAATAAATTGCATATATGTATATAGCTAGATACATATGGGGTGTATATTATATTGCACTGTTTATCACACATGTGGAGTGGAGCTGTACATGGTATGCCGAAAACGGTGACCGTGACGCCACATGACGGGATTGCTGCCACTGCTGTGTGCCACGTGTCAGCTCGGGAGCGAATTGATGACGCGTGGTTTGACCCTTTGTTATGTTATTTTTTTTTAATACCTTGTTTCCCAACGATGTTAGCCAAATAAATAAACTAAGGGAAAATATTTCCTAACATGTGGCGAGGAGCAGTAATACAATACAGTCCATTTGTAATGGTCTGCTAACTATTCTTAAACATTGTGATATCTAGATTTCATGTTCCAAATTAATGAGATTGGAATTGTTAAAAAAAAAATTAAAATTAATGACAGCAGAAAGTTCGAGATCATGTTTGTAATTTATGGGTTGTCGAATTAAGTAATATTAAATTTGGTTAGTTTTGAAAGTAACTTTATAAGCAAGCGTTTGTAGTCCAACGGTTAGGATAATTGCCTTCCAAGCAATAGACCCGGGTTCGACTCCCGGCATTAAGCTTTTATATTTTTTAGATTTTATATAAAAATTCCGTCATTTCATGATATGTATGTTTATATGAAGTACAGACTATTCTTTACCGTGTATATACTATGCATATATTGAAAATTATTTATGTTGTTTATGTAGGCACAAGATAAGTCATAAACAGGTACAGGGAATCCCAACAACAGTATTACAATTTGGATTTAAACGACAAAAAAAAAAATGTCATTCACTTCTCATTCCAGGCATTGAAACACATCAAAGGCCCCCCGCCCCCCCCCAAAAAAAAATTCATATCACAATGCGCATTATTTATTAATAAAAACCAATATATATATATATATTCATTGAAATACAAGTACCAACCGCTGTTATTCGATTCGGTTCAGCTATTAGATTCACATCTCAGAACCTGTAATCCATGTGAAATTGAAAATACGATCCTCTCTGTTTGTGCCTGCTTAATAGTGCATGTGTATATATATATGTGTGTGTGAAGTATTAGAAAATAAATATACATACATATGTGTATAATGTACGTATAATAATTACATTACACAATGTCACTGAGATTCAATATTTCATCAAACAAGAGGAGCATTAGAGAAGAAGGGCATGCTTCTCTGCTTCAGGTCTTCTAAAACCTCACTACCTGTATCCTCTAATAAACCAAAACGCTTATCATCACCGTCATCAAGCTCATGAAACTGTTTGATGCGTCCAAGACGGCGTGAACGTAGAACTTGCTTGGAAACAACAGGCAGTCTTATCCTCTGATACTCCCCGAGGGCCGAGCTCAGATCCTCACGTCCCCGTTTCTCGAGGCATTTCCCCAGCACAAAAGCGTCGAGGATCGACATGTTCGTGCTTCTTAGACCGTGAGGGGTCGTGGGGTGAGCCGAGTCACCGACCAGTACGATGTTTTCCCAGACAATGTTCTCAAGAGGGTCGTGGTCGTATATAACGTTGAGAAAAGGGTCTTTTGTTTCCTTCATGAGTCTTGCCAGCTCGGGACGCCAGACCATGTCGGCTTCTTGATGCATCTTCTTGATCATTTCTTGGCTTACACTCATGGTAACGGACTTGCTCTGATATGAAGTAAGAGATTAGAAGAAGCATGTAACTCAGAGAGAGATAGATAGAGAGAGAGAGAGAGAGAGAGAGAGAGAGAGAGAGAGATACCTTCAGTTGGGGCTCTGGTTGGTTGACATACCAAATCCAATTGAGTTTGTTGTTCAGAAGCTCGTAAAGCACGCTGTGAGTCTTCGGTCCAAGATCAAAGTACAAGCATTTCCCAAGATCCGGATACGCTCGACGGATTCCTATGATCATTTCCGAGTTCTCATCCCCGGAGAAATCAAGAACACCCCTCCATGCACAATAACCAGAATACCTACAAACCAAAAACCTATATGAAATCCTGCAGGGGTGACAATTACTGACCTGACAACGAATCGAACCCAAACCAGGTCTACATAATCAAAGTTTCTTGGAAGGTTTAACGAACCCAGAATGTATTAAAGTCCATCGATATGATCCAGATATTTTTCAGTTCTTATCCAAGTCTGTAACAAATTAAACCGATTAGAGTGTCTCATCACAAACCTCAATTTAAGGTCAGGCAGGAAAGTTTTGCGGATTGAAGACAGACACCCATCTGCTGCAACGAGTAAATCTCCACGGATTTCAATGGTTTCTTGAGTTTCAAGAATCCGGGCCTTGACCTTGACGGAGGATTTATCTTGTGGAACAGTAAAAGACAGATACAGATGACCCCACAGGAAAACGCTTCGAGGCAATGCGTTATACAGAAGACTATGAATGTCTGTCCAGTAAGCTGCTCGGAAATTGAAGTTCTCGTCTCGTGTTAGTATCCGAGTCCCCTTCTTCCCATTGTCAGTTGTCTGATTCTATACATGCAACAAAGAAACAATATAAAGAAATCCAGATATCCATCCTGTCTTCTTTCATGTAACGTGAAGACGAAAGATATTGTTCTTCGGGTTTGAATATGGTAATCTCCTAAACATCGACGATGTTCAAATAGAGTTACACAAACGCAACATGAACTTGATCACCATATTTAAGTAATTGCCAAATGAAACGAGTTGAAATTAACCTGTTCTTGGATTTGAATTCATGGTCTAATCAAGGCTTGAGTTGAGTTCATTGAGAATGAAATCCAATCCGGATTTGATTTAGCCATAAATTTCCACATTGACCCTGAATTCAGTTGAACTCGCAATAAGTTGGAACGATTCCTATTTTTCCAAATTGTCTAATGAAATCAGCAACGTTTAAGCAATGAAGAGTGGAGCCGAACTCAGCTTTACTTTCTGTTTGTTTCCAGAGAAAATGGATTTCAGGGAGAATGATGAGATAGATACCTGGTCGATTGAGAGGGGCAAGGTGAAGTCGTCCAAGAGGTTAGGACGAGGAAGCCAGGTCCTGATGACTTGCCGAGACTGAAGGTCGAGTCCGAGGCCGGCGCCGGTGGGGCTCCGCGCCGGAGGTTCTGTGGATTTCTCCAAAACCAACACCTCCCATCCCGCTAACGTGAGCGCGTGCGCGCACGATAAGCCCGCTATGCTTCCTCCCACAATGATTGCTCTCCCCTTCTTCCCCATCTCTCTCCGATTTTTCTGCTTCACAATTTCTGAAGGGTAAAATTTCTCTGTTTGTTTGTATAAACCAGAGAGGAAAAAAATCTTCTTCATGGGTCTAAAATTAAATAAAAACTGTAGATTGAAAGCCCATCAGGCCCAATAGATCCAAAATGTTTATAGGGCTGAAATATATGGGCCTGTTGGGCCCGATAGATTTGTTCTTCCTTTGCGATTGCTTGCGACCGTCTCCAAGACGAGAGAAAGAAAACCACTGAAATTCCCAAATTTTCACAAGAACCCCCAATATTCTTCTGGTGTGTCCGTACGACGCTGAATCGGATCCTCTCTCACTCGGGCAAGCAGAAGAAGAGTTTTTGATTCTCCACGGAGGAGGAAGACAGAGATGGGGGCTGGGCGGGAAGTGAGCATATCGCTCGACGGTGTCAGGGACAAGAACCTGATGCAGCTCAAGAAGCTCAACACGGTTCTGTTCCCGGTTCGATACAACGACAAGTACTACGCCGACGCTCTCGTTTCTGGCGAATTCACCAAGCTTGGTTCGGTTCCTTACCTGGGTTTCTGTTTGATTTCCGTAGATTTTATGTTATTTCTGCTGTCGGTGGGATGAGAAATGATGTTCTTCCGTGGGCATTGGTGTTTGCGTGTTTTGAGCTTTAATGGGGACATGTCTCTGATCACTTGTTTTGTATTGTGTTCTCTGTTTGTGAGTAATGGAACATCAATGTCTTTTGTCTTAATGCTCATGTCGGTTGCTTGCATTGTGAACTGATATATATGATTTGGTTGGCGCGATTCATCCCAACTCGCCTACCAAGTCATATTTTCAAACGAGGAATGGATTTCCATATGGGTTTGTGAGATTCTGTGGTACTAGTTATTGGTGGTAGTTTCAGTTTCTTTGGTTCGCATTGCTGAAGGTTTTGCTGTTAGACACTACGGGTTGTCTTTGTGGCTTATATTCATCGGTATTTCTAGGTTTCCTGGCCTCTAAATTCATCACCCATGTCGTTTTTCCCCTAGCAGATAAAAATAAGATGAAACGAGTTTAATCAGTAATGTCGGTACAAGGTTTTGCTTCGCTATTTTTTATATGCTATGGTTGCGACTTCTCTTTCTTTCTCAGTGTTGATAACACATTAGTAGTTGCATCCATTGGGTAAGGTCTGTTTGGTTTTCATGCCTCTGATTCCATATTCAAACTTTTTCTGTTTGTGCTACATCAGTAATGGAGGCTTTGGACAGGAGGATGCCGGGATTTGAATTTCATTTCCATTTGAGTTAGATAAATTTTTTGCTTAACTATTGTGTTATCTTCTGAAGGGCCGACTTGGTTCAGCGGTAAAACCGTTTACCGTGGGGTCTGAGGTCGCGGGTTCGAATCCATCTCTCTACATTGAAATGTAGGGGTAAAGTGGCCTAGTATATTCCCTTCCCCAGCACCCCCAATAGATGGGGATACGAACTGGGCTGGTCCTTCCTTTCCTTATTGTTTTATCTTCTCATGTCTGTTCAGAATAGTTTGGTTGAAAAAATTCTGTAGTTTACGTGTCGGCCTCTACATAATTCATTGTATTTTATCGATCAATGTAGCTGCTGTATTGTACACCTTGTTCCCTTTTTTTTCTTTCAGTGAAAAGCCAAAAACTTTTATGCCAATCAAATTTCCCCTTTTTCTTAATATGCATATCAAGATGCACTGACCAGTTTGAACAATGTTTGGATGTTCGGCAATAGGTATATGCAGCAGGAAATGAAATATTTCATCCCTGACCGACTTCATTTGATTGTTTTCTCCAGTCGTGGAAAATAACGAATGCTCTTCCGTGTCCTGACCCTGGTTTTGCTTCCTTTTTTCAGCATATTACAGTGACATTTGTGTCGGAGCTATTGCCTGCCGGCTGGAGAGGAAAGAAGGCGGAGGCTTGTGTGTTTACATAATGACATTGGGTGTCCTCGCTCCATATCGCGGGCTTGGAGTTGGTGAGTGATATAACCTCTCTATCCTCTCTGCTATGTATGTTAAGACTTGATTCTGATAGAAACATCAATTATGTTGGACCCTATCTCGGTTCTGATTCAAACTCTAGTTTTACACTTCAGTTCTGACCCCCCTCAAGCTTTGTTGTTAATATTTATCTTTAAACTTGTTTTTACCAAGTTCTGGTCCTTACCGAGCACGATTTTCTTTAAACGTCGAGATAATTCAGTTCTCTTCTTCGAGTGAATCTCTGTTTTTTTTTTTTTTTGCAGGTTCGAGGCTTTTGAACCATGTTCTTGAACTGTGCTCGAAGCAAAACATCTCGGAGATATACTTGCACGTGCAGACAAACAACGAAGATGCAATCAAGTTCTACAAGAAATTCGGGTTTGAGATAAGGGATACCATTCGGAATTATTACATCAATATCGAGCCACCGGACTGCTATGTCGTCTCGAAGTCTCTCGACCAGCCTCAAGTGAAGAAATGATCAAAGATCCATCGATTCTACGATTTGGGGAAATCCAGTATTTGCTTTTGTTCTTCTCATTTTCTCTCTTGCATTGATCGGATTTCCCATGTTGAGGTCGGATTGCTGAGTTTTTTTGTTACATGTCCCAATGACCCAAAAATTTTCGTTTTTATTCGAAACCTGAACCCTCCGTTTCAAGTAGAAGATTTATAAATTTGTAGTCTACATTGCCACTACGCTGTTTGTGAACACAAGCAGCAACTTTGTTCTCTATAATAAGATGTTGAATTCTGAAGAACTCGGATGTTGCCCATGGAAGGTGATTGTTTAATTCCTAAGTGCACTGCGTGCCGTCTTTCTGCGCTTGCGTGCCGTCTTTCCAATACATTATAGAAAGCTGTGTAAATCTGAAATATGAAAACGGCATTTATGTTCAGGGTTTTCTGCTCATCGTGACGATGGCGTGGCGATGACAGAACTCCGACACACTGGTCAATGCACCCGTCACAAAACCGCACGCGTGAGGTGAGCCTCTCTGTCTCTCTCTCGCGATCGATCGATGCGGCGTTCACACTCCATCGTCCAACTCCTCCCCTTCGCCGCAATTTCCGATTCCTCCGCCGCCATATCCGCCTCCGTCGCCGCCATGTCCAATCGTCCTCCGGTAGTATTCGTATAGACCCTCTCACAAGCTCTCACTCTTGATTTAGGTTGCATTATTTCGATTGACAGAGGATTTGTTTGCTCTAATTGGAGCAGTACAGAGGGGGCTGGAGCCGAGGCCGAGGCCGGAGAACCTTCTCTGATCGTCCTCACAACGAAGCAGGAAGAGATCAAGTTGTGACTGGAGACTCGCATTTCCAGTCAGTGCACGATGTCAACCTAGGTATGCGGCACGGCGGCGGAGCTCAAGGCCACTCGAATCTCGATCACCGACCTTCGCTTCGTTCTCATCATTTCAATAACCATGGTCAACGCCCTCGGCAACCTCATCCGCCGCAACAGTTTCACCAGCTGCCGTTTGATCAGAACCTGGTTTCCCGGCCTCCGCTGCCGCGAAATCAGTGGCAACCGTTTCATCACCAGCCTTATGGTTCGCCGGAAAATAAAGGCCATGCTGCCTGGCCTCCGCCGCCGTTCTACTATCAAAACCAGGTTTTCCGGCCTCCTCTGCCGCGGCGTCATCAACCACGGTCGAAGCCTTCTGATTACCGAGAATGGGAATTCGCCAAAACGGCTCTGCCTTCTGGGTCCGGTAACTTTTGCATTAGAGTTTTAAACTTTTAAATGCATTCGTTTTTAGTTGGTAATACATTTGTACTTGTTTGATGACTTGATAAATTCTTTGTATTGCAGAAAAGTTCGTTGTTCTTTCTTATAATATCTTGGCTGATTACCTTGCAAATGATCACCGGGGAAAGCTTTACTTTCACATACCAAGGAATATGTTGGGCTGGGAATCCAGAAAGAGAAGAATTATCTTCGAGCTTGGCCTATGGTCTGCAGATATAATGTGCCTTCAGGTTGTTGCTTTTGCTGATTGTCTGTGTAAATCGTCTGAATTTGCCAAAGTTTTACAAGTTTTGCATTCTTGGTTGCTCGTGGATTTCAGTGCTTGCTCTCATCGAGGATGGAATACTTATTTTCTGCGTAAGCAATAATCTTTAGTGTAATATGCATATCATGGTTGTGGTCGTTTGCATGTTTCAGGAAGTTGACAGATTTCAGGACCTAGAGGAGGAGATGAAACTCCGAGGGTATAGCAGCATTTGGAAGGTATTATATACATACATATTAGGATTTCTTGAAATATTTTTTTGGGTTTGATCTTTATTAAATAGCTTGCCACCATGCAATAGTGATTCTTTCTTCAGCTGGTAAAATCTTTGTAGTTTGAACATGTTTTTTTTATTTGTATTGCCCCTTGATTCTCTCAGAGTAAAGATCAACTGATATATGTCAAGAATGTAAAAATAACAAGGTTCAATTAATGGTGCTAACTGATTGCTTAAATTGTAGATGCGGACTGGCAATGCTATTGACGGCTGTGCAATGTTTTGGCGATCAAATAGGTTTGGTATTTTTGTTTGGTCTTCTTTATGAGGTTCAGTTTGGTATCTCATGTGGAATCTCATTGATATTTCCTTTTTAGATTCAAGTTGGTTCATGAGGAAAGCATCCAGTTCAATAAGCTTGGTCTCCGGGACAATGTTGCTCAGATATGCGTGCTTGAGGTAATATAAATGTCTGATTTGAGAATTACGTATCTACGTGTCAGATTAGTTGTGCTTTCCTTCTTTTCTTTTTTTCGTTGTTTTGTTTTTTGTAATTTCATCGTTTTTTTTCTGATCAGTTGTTGAATTCACGTACAAGCAAGAATGGGGTCACTGCATCAGAAAGGTAACCTAATATTATCTACAAATGTTTGTGGGGAGACATTATGGTTGCATAGTTTTGTGACCCGATGTTCCCTGTTGAACAGGAAATGTGGTTTATGTGGTCTCGTCTTTAGTGGTATTATTGATGGAATATATTGTATGGGACTGTATGAAGTGATATGGTTTTCTATATGTGCAGCTCTGCTGGTTCCCACAGAGTTGTGGTATGTAATATTCATGTGCTTTACAATCCTAAGAGAGGAGAAATTAAACTTGGCCAGGTAACTTCCATTACTTGTTGTACACTAGTTTAGTGAATCTTTACGCTAGTTTATTCCTTGTTTTGCTATCATAGCTGATAAAAGTCGATTGGAAGTTTCTATTGGTTGTGTTGAGCCGAATTCATGGGGCATGGCACTTCTATCTGATGGAAGTAATTTTGTTCTTTTGTTCAATTGCGTTTATGTGGCTATTGATAGTCCGTTATGATTTTACTTTCCCTGCTCTACAGGTCAGAACACTCTTGGAGAGAGCTCACGCGGTTTCCAAACTCTGGGATAATGCTTCTGTTGTTTTGTGTGGAGATTTCAATTGCACCCCTAAGGTTCTCCATTTGCATCTTTAGCTCCAGCTTTCTACTGTTCAGTTTCACCACTATCTGTACTAAAAATGTGATTGAACACATGGGTAATATTGTTCTTTATCTTTGTGCAGAGTCCGTTGTACAACTTTATTTTGGAGCAGAAGGTAAAGCTTTAGCACCTAGGTGTATCTTTGATCCGTATGAGACAACTACACGTATATGGCTCAGGTTGCATTATGATGTCTTTACAGTTGGATTTGTCTGCACTGGCAAGAGACAAAGTCTCTGGACAAGATTCTGCTATTATTCGTCCATCAAGGCCAGAAAATCTTTATCTGAGGTAATTATGAGCTGTTAATTTTGGAACATCACGTAAACTTTGGAGCTTTGTTCTGTAATTCTATATTATCGTGATGATTGACAAGCTTGCCCAGTGTTCCAGGTATCCGGCTACGATAAAATCTCCACAAGTTGAACTCCAGTCATTGGATTCAGTTTCGGATGCCCAGACTGTCAGCAACAAGGAGGGTGAAAAGGCTCCTCCCGGAAGCACATCTGAACTTCATTGTGCTGAAAAGATTCTTGTCAACTCCCAAGCATTTGCTGATTCAGACCAGGTATCACCAGGTGAAGAACTTGGGTCAGATGGTACCACAGAAAGTAAAAATAGAGAATCCGACGGCAATGGAGAGCCCTTTGTGGCCGAAGATCTGTCTTCAACATGCAAATCAGACCCAGACTTTCTACATGCTTCTGACACTGAAACGTTTTCAAAAGAGGAATTCTCAGAAACTTCTTTTGCTTCTGCTACTGGAGAGTCTCCCCCGGAAATGTTTGCCAAGGATGAGAATATCTTGTCAGTTGTGTCTGTCGAGGTTGATGCTTTGTTGGGGGTGAAACTAGGGGACTTAGATTTGAACAAACCGGATGAAACTCTGAGAGAAAGTGAGGGTTTAGGAGAAGATCGTGACGTCTTTTTGGCCGAACTGCACAACAATGACTCGGGTCACAGTCTTGATGTTCTGAGTGAATTGTCACCTGAATTGGAATCTGAAACTTTCAAGGAGGAGAAAATTCCGTATGATTCATCCTCATGGACTCCAATGGAGATAGCAGCAGCAACAGGTGACCAGGAAAGAACAGCAATTGAACACCCCTTACATCTAACCAGCACTTACACAGAAGTAGAGGTATTACTATTCTTTTTCCCCTCAGGCTTCAATCAATTTCTGTCTCCTGGTAAGGGAATTACTTTAAAAGCTGTTGAAAATGTTGCTTAGGGCAAGACAAACACAAGAGACAAAAATGGAGAGCCTGAAGTGACCAGTTACAACAGATGTTTCATGGGGACAGTCGATTATATATGGTGAGCGTTCTAACCAAAAACACTAGTTTTTTTTTTGCTCATGTGTTTTCGTAATCATGGCTGTAAGAGGAGAAAAAAAACATATCTGAGAACCCCGAGATGATGAACCGAATCACTGAAATGATCTTTTTCTTTTGCCTGTATGTCCATTGATGGTCTCATAAAGGATTTGTTGGATGTAACTAATGGGAAAATGCCTTTGGACCTTCGAGAAACCCTTCCACATTGAAAAACATAAACCAAAATCGGAATATGGCTGTGTTTTCCGGCCACCACTACTTCGATTTCCAACACCATAAAACAAGTTCCTGCACCATTTTTGGTTTGATTGTATGGAAACCTTTTAGCTTCTGGACAGTTTCCCGCTCTTGCTGATGACTTAACAAGTTCCATAAAATTGTCGTATTGCATTTGCATGTATATATATAGGGTGACTTGTATTGAGAATTTCTGTATCTTTTGTTTCAAATTTGGTGTAGGCGTTCCCAGGGCCTGGAAACAGTTCGAGTGCTTGCTCCGATGCCGAAACAAGCCATGCAGTGGACGCCCGGCTTCCCGACCCCGGTACAGTTTTTTCCTCCTGCTCCAAGTCCTAGAATCCGAACTTTAGCTTCGTCATTTTGTGTGTCATACATAGATAGAGCTGATATTTTACTGGTTGTATCAGAAATGGGGGAGCGATCACGTGGCCCTTGTTTCCGAGCTCGCTTTCACCGAGGAATCAGTCTAATCCCGGCGATGACCCTTTGAGTAATTTTATCCGGTGTCTATGGGAAGAAGAACTGGATTTGTTCGACCTGTTTTTTTTTTCCCTCATTTTTTTAAAAACAATTATTTATTTTCTGTCTGCATGTTTTTCTTTAGGTATTTTTATTCACGCGAATAAAATAAACAACCCGAATAATATATATATATATATATATATGTGTATATATATCCAGAGTTCTTGCTAAATAATTCAAAAGAGTTATTTCGTCTCCGCCCGAATAATGCCATTGAAGCAAGTCCCAGTTCCTCTCTTTTGTTCTGACCATCACGAAAGGCGAGGGACATGAGATCCAAATAATTCGTAGAGAAATGTGGATTAGCTTTGACAATTTGTAATGAAATCAATAGTTCGAATGAGTGAAATGCGATGTCGATAGATAGCACAATATATATTAGACATGAAATGGATTGAATCCTCTTGGCTGTTTCGATGGTCCCTTTTACTGTTACTTACACATACGATTGCGTTGTAACAAAGCTTTGATTGAGCTATTTAACAAACTCCACAGCGAAACCAGTCCATTCAAACCAAACATTATAGGCATTTATATAATTACATATCTTTTACCATCATAAAACCAACTCGAGTCTGCAAGGTATTCATCATTCATGTGAACATTTTTTTTTTGCATAGGCCTCGTGACTATAAGAAATAAGTCGATGCGGAATAATCTTCGTTAATCTATATTTTATCATTCTGGTCACCGGTGATGGCGAAAGAATGACCGTCGGTGCAAAAAAAAGCATGGAACAGGAGTCGTTCCTAGGCTTGAGACGAATTAAACGCACCAGAATAAGAAGGATCCGAGAGATTTATAGGTATGAAGTTTAAGATAATTTAAAGGAATTGATACTAATAAGATGCATCTATCTTTTCTATTATGTATCCCGAAAGAATTCCAAATCATGTTAAAAGATCTCATGTTGAACAATGTGAACAGTTTAAACGTTCGTAATATTCGTAAGACGCTACATATATGATATATATTCACATGTTAGTTCGAGTGTCGAATGTCATATAATTGTATTTTGGAAAATATCGTAGATGGAAGAACTAACTCCTACTAATATCGTGTTTGTATAAAACGATATGCGACATTCCCATGTTAGAAATCACAATCCCACGAGGGCCTAAACCATTAATGAGAGACTTAAACCCTTCATATTAAAATCGGCGACAAGACTGCCAGCTAATGTTTTACTTATTGATTGCATCTTTTGCTTCAGCCATTTTAACAACCTTTTGATTCTAAATCTCTAACTTCATGATTATATGATGTTTGATGTAATGGAAAGTTATTCAGATTAGACAACATGGTGAAACATGTCGGATATATATCACATAAGTGAGGAAAAAAAAAACATTTGAAAGTTGATGTGTGACTGATTGGCCACGTTTACGAAATCTGATCATATCTCAAACGCGGAAAATCTCGAATTCCGGATTTCGGTTTATGGGTGAGATGTTTTGCTAAGTTGAACCGGATCTAACCAAATTGGTTAGAACTATGACTTAACCAAGTAGTTTATGTGTTGGTTAGGAATTACTCCGGTTTTTCTTTATATGTGGCTATTTCAGATTTCGGTTCGGTTAGATTATAATCGGTTTAGTTAATTCAGTTATAAAAAACTATAATTATTCGATTTTTATATTAACTTTATATCGGTTTGGTTTGCATTTTATTTTTTATTTATAGATTTTTTAACAAAGAAAATTTTATTTTTTTCTAGTTATTTTTTTATTCGATTCAATTCGAATTCGATTTTTTCAGATTTAGAAAAATTTTAACCGTTCGATTTTTATATTATATTTTATTTGATTATATTTCTATTTTATTCAATTCAATTTGGTTCGTATATTCAATCAGTAACTAAAATTACTACCCTATTTTAAATGTAGCAATAAATATATATTTTGTTTTCCTGGGTGATAATATTAAACAGAGAAACTATATATTTTTTTGTACAAACATTACCGAACCAAAGATAGTTAAGATCGACCCCGTTTCCCGTTACCACTGACACACGTGTCGCGTGATTGAGACCTTGGACGGGTGTAAGTCGCATGTGGTGGGGGGGATGACGAGGGACCGTTGGATTTAAACGTAGGCCACGTCAAACGTCGATCCGCCGTTAAATCTGTAACGGAACATATCCTTTTCTCCGTCAGCCTCACCGTTTCATGAAATTAAGGACTGCAAGCCTTTTTCTGGTGCAAAAGACAATAACGCATAATTTATTTTTATTATTGTATCCTTTTTTTTAAAACTAGATTCATTATATTTGTTGTCGTTTTCTCCTTATATTTCAATGGTGTGAGATCAGTTCTCTTTTGGAATTTATCATAAGGTGTTGCGAGAAACGTGGCCTTCTGCTGCATCTATTAAAATTCATTATTTTAATTTTTTTGTATGGATCTTTTAAAATTGAAATAATAAAAAAATATATATATACAATGGGTTTTGTCTGTATTTGGTTTTACATGTAAGTCGGCCCAATGGGCCCGTGGTGGAGTAAAAGGAGTGTATATAGAGGAGGAGACAGAGCCACGATCATGCCTTTATTACCTCTCTCTCTCATCTTCCCATTTTTCGGCCCCCACCCACGTTTCCCCTCTCTCTCTACCGTCTCTTGTCTCTTTTGTAATTAAAAATTATCATAGTAATTGGTTAAATAACACCATTTTGAGATATTATAAATATTGTTTTAGGCCCACTTTATATAAATATCATTTCGCATAATCATCTTTGATTTTGGAGAGAAGTCGGTCGCATGATTTGATTTCGAAGGGTTGGTGTAATTACCACGTAATGATTCGCGATTTAGTTTGATGTTGACAAGTGCAAAACCAACGTGCATGTGTCCGGAAAATAAATAAAAAAAGAATTTTTTTTTAAAAAAATGATCGTGCATGTGGGGGTGTTGTCTCTCTCCCTTTTCCTTGCGGTCAAACGGAAAATAATTAAATTAAAAAGCTTATATTAGTATCCATTATCTATCAAGTATAACTAAAAACAAAATATGATTTGCTTATTAACTCAGACGGTCGTCGTAAAATATTTTACGGCCATAATTGTTCAATATTGATGTGTAATGCACATGCATACACAAACATATGACATTGGTGTTATAAGGGCATTGATAAGATTGTAGTTCGAATCTTATCCACTGTATGCTTGCGACCAAATTTTATCATCGTTTTCGTCGTATTGTGTGTATATAATGAATGTATCAATATAAGCATATGTCATGATTTTGTCTGATGTATTTCATCCTTGTTTGGGGGTTTAAGGGATGAGAACAAAGACGTAATCCAGAGGGTTTTTCCTGTGACCGACATAGGGAAATGTACATACGCTAAGATTCGGTGGCATGTTATTATTATTATTATTATTATTTCATATATCAAACTTTATTTTATAAAATTAAAAAAACCCCACGAGAGACAAATCAATTAGAAGTGACGGGGAACAGTTTATGCATAGAACACAATCCCCCCCCCCCCTGATATAATTGCACGGGCCACTGTTCCAAATGTCCACAATGCCCTTCCTTTGTGATCATTTGATATCATGCATTTAATGATTCATGTCATCTTTCTTCTGTTCGATAATCTATCTGTTTGCTAAAATTTGACATAATAACTGTTTTTTTTATGAAGATAATGTTATAACACGTGTTAAAAATATATACCCATTGTATCGATTTTAAAATAAGTGTTGACATAAAAAAAAAAAAAGATAAAACTCCTAAAAAACCTTTAACTTCAAAAATATATACAAATAAATCTTCAATTTGAAAAATTATCATTTAATCATCGAACTTATAACTTGTCACTGAATAAAACCTCGAACTTGCAAATTATTGCTCTAATAAACTTTTGACCGGTTTGACCATTATTTCAAACGATCGGAAATCCACGTATTGACGGATTGCTGATGTCATTTTTTAAATTAAAATTGATAACGTGTATAAGATGACATCAATAATCCGTTAATACATGGATTTCCGATCGCCTGAAATTGTGGTCAAACAGGTCAAAGGTTTATTAGAGTAATAATTTGCAAGTTTGAGGTTTTATTCAGTGATAAGTTACAAGTTCGGGGATTGAATGATAGTTTTTCAAATTGAATGATTATTTGTATATATTTTTGCAAGTTATAGATTTTTTAGGGGTTTTACCCTAAAAAAAATGATCTATCACACCGAACACGCAAGAAAAACACGTGCATGGGATCAATGTCTTTGTATCAGTGTGTCCTTATAAGCACCGATGGAGATCCAAACCATGTGGATATGCATCAAACTTCGACATTAAAAATACCAAAAGTAAAATGCATCTCGGGTTTTGTCTTTGGTCTTTAATTTGATATCAAATTTTTTTAAAAGAAATCTAACGAAACTAAATATATATACACATTATATATATATCATCAAAACTAAACAAAACCTTTAGATTTGGGAATAATCTCGAGAATAAACTGATGTATAATTTTAATCGATGATTCCGTTAATTACTCTCTGGGCCTCGCAATTCCATATCTTTTGCAAGAGTGAAGTCAGGGTCCCACGTGGATACGCTCGCTAGAACCAGTGGCACAACCTCGTAAATTCCCCCCAAACCCAGTGGTACTTTCATATTCAGAAATCAATATAAGCAATATTCGCCCCTCTTCATTTCATCATAACATACAAAAAACACACACACTCTTCTCTCTCCATATCAACAAAATGCGAACCGTCGTCGTTTTGCCTGCCGCCGTGCTCCTCCTCCTCACCACCGCCTCATGCTTCCACGACGGTACGTTAAATTCGTGTGTATATATATAGTTACACACATACACATATATATATAGAGACACAGAGACACACATACTATATATATTACAGTGCACTGCTTCATAAACCCTATCGATATTGGTCGGAGTACATCAATTGAGTGTATCTATAGATTCTTATTATCATGAATAAGTCTAAATAATGGTAGAAATGGGGAGGTTTCAAATTGAAATCATCTTTAAACTCGGTTGTTTCTGCTTCTTCTTATGATACATATTGTTTATAGCGGTTGAATTCTTAAATTTTTTTTTTAGTCCGTTGGTCTGATTATAAATAATAATATAATAGTTGGACCGATTGGTTGTCTAATGCATATGTATTGGGTTGTTTATGTCGAAAATCAATCTGTTTGATTTTTCTACTGCCTTGATAATGATGATGATGGTCATGGAAATAGCATATAGTTTTCGAATATATATTTATACGTATCGATTTTTGTTTTCACAAGTTCGGGTATTCGGGGGAATGAATTTACGGTTTTGCCCATCTGGCAAGGGTTTTGGACATATCCCATCAATCATGGTAAAGTGGACCCGTTAGAAAAAGCTGGTTCTTTTACAGGCCCAGTTAGACCGACTCAGACACCTCACGTGCCCCCCCTTTTTACGTATTTTTTTTATAATATTTATTCCACTCTATTATTCCTATTTTTTTTAATAAAAAAAATAATATAGCTAGTGGTGAAGAGAAAAACAACAACTTGACCCTCGTACTATTTTCTTCGTGACATCTATTTTCTTTTAAAAGTATATTTATTTTCATGATATCGATATCTCTATATTCTTAAATCCGTCTATATAAGACAAAAAAAATCCGTGCAGATATCATTAATTTTCCAATATTCACAAAACCTAAGATCCATTACATTACGTTACACCCGATTCCGTTTTTAATTATTGTTACTTTACTAGATCCTCGAAAGAATCTAAACTCCGAAATCTAAGGGGAATCTCGTAATTTCGCAGGGATGTTGCCGAACGGTGACTTCGAGCTTGGACCGAAGCCATCCGACATGAAGGGAACGCAAGTGATAAACAGGTCGGCAATACCGAACTGGGAACTCTCGGGTTTCGTGGAATACATCAAATCGGGACAGAAGCAAGGGGACATGCTCCTCGTCGTCCCGGCCGGGAAGTTCGCCATCCGGCTCGGCAACGAGGCCTCGATCAAGCAGCGGCTTAGGCTCATAAAGGGAATGTACTATTCCCTCACGTTCAGCGCCGCCCGCACGTGCGCTCAGGACGAGCGGCTCAACATATCGGCCGCACCCGACTGGGGAGTTATTCCGATACAGACGGTGTACAGTAGCTACGGGTGGGATCTCTACGCGTGGGCGTTTCAGGCCGAGACCGAGGTCGTCGAGGTCGTGATCCATAATCCCGGTGTCGAGGAGGATCCTGCTTGTGGACCTCTCATTGATGCCGTGGCTATGAGGGCTCTTTATCCACCTAGACCTACTAATAGTAAGTTTATTTCGTTTTTTTATTAAATGTGTTTTCCAAGTTTTTTAGTGTCATTCCGTTCATATATCTTTTATATATATATATATATATGTATATGTATGTAAGTGCAAATGATAGTTCACTAGAAATGGTATTAGACGGTGGATGGATAGAGTAAAGTCCGTGATCGAGCGGATAGTGAAATACTTTGAGGTAAAATTTGGTGTTATTTTGTTCATATATCTTTATATAATTTGTTTAGAAATGGTTATTCTCAAGTGTTTCGGAACTTGTTCGTGAGTGGGTTTGTAGTGATATATATATATATATCTCTCTCTATATATATATATGTATATGGACGGATCTATTTACTTATAAATGGGGCCACACATTTCATAATTTTTAAATTTTATTTTCTTTGTAAATTTTATAAAATTTTAAATAAAATTGTATTAACGCATTCTTTTTCGTTGTGGGCAGAGAACGTTTTAAAGAACGGAGGATTCGAAGAAGGGCCATTGGTGCTACCGAACTCGACAACGGGAGTTTTGATCCCACCGTTCATAGAAGACGACCACTCTCCATTACCCGGTTGGATGGTCGAATCACTCAAAGCCGTCAAGTACATCGACATCGAGCACTTCTCGGTCCCACAGGGCCGCCGAGCCATCGAGCTGGTGGCTGGCAAGGAGAGCGCCATAGCTCAAGTGGCTCCGGCCATAGCCGGCAAGACCTACGTCCTCTCTTTTGCGGTCGGAGACGCCAGTAACGCGTGCAAAGGCTCGATGATCGTGGAGGCGTTCGCCGGCCGGGACACGCTCAAGGTCCCGTACGAGTCCCGTGGGACTGGAGGGTTCAAACGGGCGGCCATGCGGTTCGTCGCGACGTCGAACCGGACGAGGGTGATGTTCTACAGCACGTTCTACGCCATGAGGAGCGATGATTTCTCGTCGCTCTGTGGACCCGTCATCGACGACGTGAAGCTCTTGAGCGTTCGTAAGCCGTAGGATTTCGATCCGACGTCTGAGATTTGTTTTGTGTTCGATGGGTTTGGGTATACCGTATCACAGGAGAGTGACACAAGTGAAGTAATGGGCTGTGCTCGGACCATAGCCGGCAAGACCTACGTCCTCTCTTTTGCGGTCGGAGACGCCAGTAACGCGTGCAAAGGCTCGATGATCGTGGAGGCGTTCGCCGGCCGGGACACGCTCAAGGTCCCGTACGAGTCCCGTGGGACTGGAGGGTTCAAACGGGCGGCCATGCGGTTCGTCGCGACGTCGAACCGGACGAGGGTGATGTTCTACAGCACGTTCTACGCCATGAGGAGCGATGATTTCTCGTCGCTCTGTGGACCCGTCATCGACGACGTGAAGCTCTTGAGCGTTCGTAAGCCGTAGGATTTCGATCCGACGTCTGAGATTTGTTTTGTGTTCGATGGGTTTGGGTATACCGTATCACAGGAGAGTGACACAAGTGAAGTAATGGGCTGTTGTGTTGTGTTTTATAGGAAGTGGTCTCGCTTACATCTATTTTATTTTCCTTGTATGGGGAAGGCAATAGAATGGTGCCGTTTTATATAATAGGGTTTTTTTTAAGGAGTTGTGATATGAGTATTATGAGAATAAAAGTTTATACAGATTTGCGGATATTGTGATTTACAATTTTTAATAATCCATTGAATTGTAAACTAATTAAGCATAACAAATTATTTTGAATTAATTAATTAAGAAACAAATCATTCAATAATCATCATTTTAAGTGATTCTTTTGTCCTAAATGATCTAATTAACACTAATATCCTGATAAGGCAGCGATCATATGGGACCCAAACAACATCCTATTTATCGGATAATTCAAAATTATTGGGATAAAGTCAAACCTAATACTTATTACGAGAAATCCACTACTTTTTTTATAACAAAAATATACGTTTAAATTTAAGTTTTGTTTAAACTTAGGAGGTTAGGGATACATTTAGATAGACATTTAAATGAGAAGCGCTCGGTTGATCTCATCATCCGTCAAATCTAAAGAATCAAATAAGAGATAGTGTGTATATATCTCTCTATAGTAAATATGGTTGTTTAAATAAAAGTTAATAATTTTGCAATAAATTTAAAATAAATTTGTTTTAGTAAATTGTGTAGTCGAATTGTTTAGTCGAATCGGTGGTGACGTATAAATTTAACTCAATATCCATTTATGTGTAGATGATCATTAATTAACATATTGACCACCTTATACAATATGTTCCAATGATAGATAATGCTATTTGTTATATGAGAATTTGATAACGCCTTTTTTTTTCTTTGAAAATCGTGGTAACCTTTTGGGTTTCTAAAGTTATTAATTTGATTAAAAAATTTGATAACCATCCGTCCTACAATTTTCTATACAGCTTGTATATTAAAAATCAAACTACATGGTTTAATTAAAAATTATTTGACGAGTTTTTGCATTTTATTTGCTTTAATTTTGGAAATTACTGTAAGTTTTGGATAAATGATTGCTAAAAACTATTGATGTCCTTGTAAATTGTAATAAATGAAAGCAGTGGCATTTGCCCGAAAGGGTTTAACTTGTTAGGCCACCCTTGACGGAAATTTGACCTATTACTTCCGGAATCGTTCTACGCCATGAGGACGATGATTTCTCGTCGCTCTCTGGACCCGTCATCGACGGCGTGAAGTCTTGAGCGTTCGTAAGCCGTAGGATTTCGATCCTACGGCTGAGATTTGTTTTGTGTTCGATGGCTTTGGGTATACCGTATCATAGGAGAGTGACACAAGTGAAGTAATGAGCTGTTGTGTTGTGTTTTATAAGAAGTGGTCTCGCTTACATCTATTTTATTTTTCTTGTATGGAGAAGGTAATAGAATGGTGCCGTTTTATATAATAGGGGGCTTTTTTTTTAAGAAGTTGTGATATGAGTATTATGAGAATAAAAGTTTATACAGATTCGCGGATATTGTGATTTACAATTTTTAATAATCCATTGAATTGTAAACTAATTAAGCCTATCAACTTATTAAATTAATTAATTAAGAAACAAATCATTCAATAATCATCATTTTAAGCGATTCTTTTGTCCTAAATGATTAATTAACACAAATATCCTAACAAGTAAGTGATTATATGGGACCCAAACAATATCTTATTTGTAACGACTCGAGACCGTTACAGAATGATAGAACTGTCCCCACACACTAACACGAGACCTTTTAGCATGTTTTGTCCTCACTCGCACACATTCCAGAAAGTACTTCCCAAGAGGTCACCCATCCTAAGACTATTCCAAGGCCATCACGCTTAACTTTGGAGTTCTCTCGATATGGACAACCGAAAAGGTAGATGCATCTTGTTGTTATGAATAACTCAATTAATTCCTTTAAGTTATCTTAGACTGTGTAGTCCCATACCTACACAGCCCTCGAATCCCTCTCATTCCGGTGCGTTCGATTCATCCTTGTACCCCCTACCCAGAAGCTCGTCAGGAGCCGCTCATTGTCCATGCCTCTTGCACTGGCGAACACTCCCCGCTCTCCTACGGTATCCTGGGCTGTCACAGGCCCACCAGCTTCCGCCTGGTTCGTCCTCGAACCACACCGTACTGGGAGAGAACTGACTCTGATACCATTTTAATGACCCGAGGCCGCTACGGAATGATAAAACTGTCTCCACACATCAACACGAGACCTTTTAGCATGTTTTATCCTCACTCGCACACATTCCGGAAAGTACTTCCCAAGAGTTCACCCATCCTAAGACTACTCCAAGGCCAACACGCTTAACTTTGGAGTTCTCTCGAGATGGACAACACATTCCGGAAAGGTAGATGCATCTTTTTGCTATGAGTAGCTCAATTAATTCCTTTAAGTTATCTTAGACTGTGTAGTCCCATACCTACACAGCCCTCAGATCCCTCTCATTCCGGTGCGTTCGATTCATCCTTGTACCCCCTACCCAGAAGCTCGTCAGGAGCCGCTCATTGTCCATGCCTCTTGCACCGGCGATCACTCTCCGCTCTCCTACAGTATCCTGGGCTGTCACAGGCCCACCAGCTTCCGCCTGGTTCGTCCTCGAACCACACCGTACTGGGAGAGAACTGACTCTGATACCATTTGTAACGACCCGAGGCCGCTACGGAATGATAAAACTGTCTCCACACATCAACACGAGATCTTTTAGCATGTTTTGTCCTCACTCGCACACATTCCGGAAAGTACTTACCAAGAGGTCACCCATCCTAAGACTACTCCAAGGCCAACATGATTAACTTTGGAGTTCTCTCGAGATGGACAACCGAAAAGGTAGATGCATCTTTTTGCTATGAGTAGCTCAATTAATTCCTTTAAGTTATATTAGACTGTGTAGTCCCATACCTACACAGCCCTCGGATCCCTCTCATTTCGGTGCGTTCGATTCATCCTTGTACCCCCAACCCAGAAGCTCGTTAGGAGCCGCTCATTGTCCATGCCTCTTGCACCGGCGATTAGGGCTGGGCAAAAATACCCGAAAATCGGGTATCCGCGGATATCCGACTCGCGGATACCCGATTTTCGGGTATCCGACTATAAACGGATCTAATTCGGATATTAATTTGTAAATATCCGTGGGACGAATCCAAATCCGGGTATTAAAAATATCTTCGACGGATACCCGCGGATACCCGGGTATTATTAGAAAAAGCATTATATTTTATATTTTTATAGCATATATAATATATCTATATGTTTATTATTTATAAAAGCTAGTGGTACTATTATTAACTTTACCTTTTGTCGGTAACTTTTGACGAGAACTTGCCCTAACTTTTCCCCTAACTTTCCTTTCTTCTCCATTTTTTCTCTTCTGCGATTTTTTATATCCATCGATGTCGCCGTTGCATCTTCACCGCCACCATTGAGCGTTCATCTTTTTTTTTTGGTTAGTTGTATGTCGAGTTTACCACAGGTATGGATGTGTATTCAGGGCTTTTTTATTTGAGTTTTCGTTTTGATTTTTCATCCTAAATTTTTTGTTTTGATTTCTGAGGTTATAATTTTGTCTCTAGTTCTCTGTGTTTGGGTTTCGATACTTGAAATATTCTGTTTAAATTTCATTGCGGATTTGTATGGTTAGGATTTGGGTTAGTATTCTGGAGTTTCAAATACTCGATTCATTATATATTCTTTATTACTTTCAAATTTTGTGTTTAGACTTGATTCACTACAGATTTTATATGGTTTGTTCGATTCATTATAGATTTTATGATTTTTTCTAGATTCTTCTGTAGATTTTTTATATAAACAATTTCGAATCCGGGTATCCGCAAGTATCCGAATATCAAATCGGATACTCGTAATCCGGGTATCCGAAGGTTTCAAATCCAAATCCAAATCCTAAAATATAATATCCGACTAATTCGGATCCAAATCCGGATATCCCGATTTTTTCGGGTATCCGACCCGTGCCCAGGCCTACCGGCGATCACTCTCCGCTCTCCTACAGTATCCTGGGCTGTCACAGGCCCACCAGCTTCCGCCTGGTTCGTCCTCGAACCACACCGTACTGGGAGAGAACTGACTCTGATACCATTTGTAACGACCCGAGGCCGCTACGGAATGATAAAACTGTCTCCACACATCAACACGAGATTTTTTAGCATGTTTTGTCCTCACTCGCACACATTCCGGAAAGTACTTCCCAAGAGGTCACCCATCCTAAGACTACTCCAAAGCCAACACGCTTAACTTTGGAGTTCTCTCGAGATGGACAACCGAAAAGGTAGATGCATCTTTTTGCTATGAGTAGCTCAATTAATTCCTTTAAATTATCTTAGACTGTGTAGTCCCATACCTACTCAGCCCTCGGAACTTCTTCAATATCCAAAGCCAAACTCATCCGTCGACAATTATCTACCAAAATTTTAAAATAAAACTCCATAAGAACCAAACATGTATATAACCAAAAGAGTTCCATTCCACCACACTCATCTCTCTGTGCTTCAACCCCTTGACAAAAATTTGACCTATTACTTCCGGAATCGTTTTACTCCAGGCCTCTCGGTTTCTCTACCGCGGCTTCCTCTCCTCTCCGTTCCACGTACATCTCTCTGTGCGTCAACTCTTTCTTTTGGGAACCCGCCTTCGAAATTGTCTCTCACCTACCATCGGTTTTCTTGTTACGTGCAGGTTTTTCTTGCTCTGCCGGTTCTGTCGACGCTCCTCTCTCCGTACTGTGAGTTTACTTCCCTTTTCTCCTTTGATTCTTCGATTTTGTGTTGTCAATATAGATTTCTAGATTTGATTTTGTCTTGTTCAAGAACGCTTCTAGATTTTTCTGTCTCTTAAAAAATAAAACTCTTAGCCTCGAACTTAGAGCTTTGTCATGGCGGAAACACAATGTGATGAATTTATAATACCAACACATTTGTAATTTAAAATTGTGATGACTTTATGCATAATTTTTTATTTTATAAATTGTACAAAAATTGTACGATTAATAATTATCAATTTTAAAATTAAAAAAAATAATTCAATTATTATTGTTTTAGAAATAATCAAAGTAGAAATAAACAATCTTTTCCTAATAAAAGAGATATCCATATATAAACTCATCAAAATGTATTCAATTAAATTAGATTGATTCATTTACTGTCACTATTTACTTCGAGGGCACATTTCTTCTTTTTATAGAATCATTATTTGTGGTAACCTATTTCTGTTAGTATTTACATCATGCACGTCATACGTCTATATTCGTTCGACGATCTAAAAGTGTTGTTAATTTATATTTCACTTATCCTAATTTGTAATTTGAATATGTAACTACCTATTTAAGTGTGTATGTTTATGTATGGTTGTCTGAGAATGCAATAAGAACGTATATTCCGATTTCTTCTTTGTTTCTTGATCTTGACTTTGTTCCAAAACAAAAGAAAATTATATTATATGATTAATTGAATATTCTTTGACGAACTTACAAGTGGATATCCCTTTAATTAGAAATATATTTTCCATTACTAGCTTTATTGTTTTTTAAACAATAATAGTTGAATTGATTTTTCGTAAATAAAATAATTTTTCTCAATCGTACAATTTTTGTACAGTTTATCTAATAAAACTATATTTTAAAATCTTATAATTTAGTTTTATTGTAACTTCTTCAATATCCAAAGCCAAACTCATCCGTACGACAATTATCTACCAAAATTTTAAAATTAAACTCCATAAGAACCAAACATGTATATAACCAAAAGAGTTCCATTCCACCACACTCATCTCTCTGTGCTTCAACCCCTTGACGAAAATTTGATCTATTACTTCCGGAATCGTTTTACTCCAGGCCTCTCGGTTTGTCTGCCGTGACTTCCTCTCCTCTCCGTTCCACGTACATCTCTCTGTGCTTCAACTCTGTCTTTTGGGATACCGTCTTCGAAATCGTCTCTCACCGTCGGTTTTCTTGTTACGTGCAGGTTCTTCTTGCTCCGCCGGTTCTGTCGACGCTCGAGTTTACTTCGCTTTTCTCCTTTGACTCTTCGATTGTGTGTTGTCAATATAGATTTCTAGATTTGATTTTGTCTTGTTCAAGAATGCTTCCAGATTTTTCTGTCTCTTAAAAAATGAAACTCTTAGCCTCGAACTTAGAGCTTTGTCATGGCGGAAACGCAATGTGATGAATTTATAACACCAACACATTTGTAATTTAAAGCCGTTGTGGAATGTGCGCAAACCCTATAGCTCAACTCTATAAATACCCCTACCTGTCTCTCGCCGGTGTACTTCGGGTTTGCTTGCTCCGGCTTTCTTCCTCGATCTTTCAGTTCATAAGGAATCATTCCCTCTCTTTCGTTCTATTTCATCAGGAGATTCTTGACTTGCAACTATACGGAGGCACATGCCCCATTCGAATATTAAAAAAAAGTTTATTTCGTATAGAAATTTGTTAGGCCATATTTATGATGGTTGTAACTTCCACGTCATGGGAACAACATTCTTCCTCTAGGGAATATCTTCTTCATATTTATGATATTTGTAAATACCATGTTATGCGAACTTCAAAGCATACATGTACGAGTATATATATGTGTACAATCTGTTGAATAATATTCATTCGAACGTTTACACTTTCACATGATATACGTTTACACTTTCATGGTATTAGAGCTTCTTGTCTAACGACATTTTTTTCCCCGAAACCTTAGCCATCGTCACTCACCTATTCCTTTGTGATCCTCTCTTTTTCTCACCATGTCGACCGAAAACATCTCATCTTCGGCAACGTCCTCTTCTGTTGCCTTTAATCCTCAAACACCGCAACAATCCCTCGTTAGCATCAACATGTCCAATGTGACAAAACTCACTTCCACAAACTACATCATGTGGAATGTGCAAATTCGTGCTCTCCTTGAAGGGCACAATCTGGAATATTTCATTCTAGACAGCAACATTATTCCGGCAGCCATGATCTCTTGTGATGACTCTCTTGTTGCAAATCCGGCCTTCGAACCTTTCCGACAACAAGACAGATTGTTGTTCTTTGCTCTTCTTGGCACTATCAGCTTGCCCCTGCAGCCGATGGTAGCACGCTCGCGGTCTGTCCGTGATGCTTGGGCTTCACTTGCCAAGGTATATGGCAAGGCCTCTCGGGGACATCTTCTTCAACTCAGGGATCAGATCAAAAGATCTACCAAAGGTTCGTAGTCTATCGACGATTATTTGCGATTTATTCTCTCGAAATCTGATGAACTTGCACTGCTTGGAAAACCTCTTGATCTTGAGGATCTTCTTGATGCCATCTTGGAGTGTTTGCCGGTTGATTTCAAACCTGTCATCGACATGGTTCAGGCAAATGACTCACCTATCTCTGTGGAAGAACTTCATGAGAAATTGCTTCACCATGAAGCCAAGCTTGCCATCTCCCCTGTTGTGGCGCCATCTCTCTTCCCTGTCATGGCCAATGTTACCAACCCACAGTCGCGACCAGCCTTTCGTGGCAATGGTCCTCCCCGAGGTCATCATATGCATCGCCCCACTCTTGGCTCTTCTCGTGGCTATCTCGGCAAGTGTCAAGCCTATGGTGTTCATGGGACACTCGGCTCAACGGTGTCCTCAATTCCGGCTTATTTCTGCATCACGTATTCTCGGCGGCTCTCCTCAGTCTTCACCATTTCCGCCATATTCTCCTCGGTCTTGGCAACCCCGTGTTAATCACACGATTATGCAGCAGTACGATGCCTCTCCTTGGCTTGTTGACAGCGGGGCTTCACATCACATTACGTCGGATCTCGAGTCCTTGTCTTTGCACAGCCCATACCGCGGTGGTGACGAAGTGATTCTCGGAGATGGGTCGAGTCTTCCCATTACACATACGGGTTTTCTCTCGACCTCTTCCTCGACTCGCCCTCTAACTCTTACACATGTTATTTGTGTTCCGGCAATGCATAAGAAACTTATTTTGGTTTCCCGATTATACGATTCTAACTCGGTCTCGGTTGAATTCTTTTCTGATTCGTTTCAGGTGAAGGATCTAAACACGGGGGCGGCTCTTCTCAAGGGAAAGCTTAAAAATGGTGTGTATGAGTGGTCGGCTTCCTCTTTCATCTCATCTCCTCATGCCTCTTTGTCGTGTCTTAAGCCCTCGTTGTCTGAGTGGCACTATCGTTTAGGTCATCCGTCTTTTTCTATTGTCCGTCATGTTGTGTCCAAGTTCAAATTACCATTGTCTCGGGATTCATCTTCTTCTTTTTTGTGATTCTTGCTCTCGTAATAAAAGTCATAAACTCCCATTTTCAGAGTCCGCTATTTCTTCTTCTAGACCCGTCGAACTTATTTTCTCAGATGTTTGGACTTCACCCATTCTTTCTATTGATGGTTTCAAATATTACTTTTTATTTGTTGACCACTTCACACGTTATTTGTGGTTATATCCTCTTAAACACAATAAGTTTCAAGTTCGGGAAACCTTTATTTGTTTTAAATCATTGGTCGAGTCGAAATTTTCATCTTCCATTGTCTCCCTCTACACCGATAATGGAGGTGAATTCATTGCTTTACGGTCTTTTTTTACTGCCCAAGGTATCTCTCATTTTACTACTCCTCCTCATACCCCGAACACAATGGTATCTCTGAACCATCATCGTGGATGCCTTTATAACTTTTATTGTAGTGTTACTTGTGGCACTCTATTGCTGCCACTTTATCCGTCAGGCGATCCAGATGTGTTAGATTATGCTGCAGTTTCTAAAATTTGTAATTTGAATATTTAGCTATCTATTTTTAGAACATATTGAAGTGTGTCTAGTTGTTTAAGGATATAACAAGAAGGTATTTTCTCTTTTCTCTTGTTGTTGTTGTTGTTGTTGTTGTTGTTGTTGTTGTTGTTGTTGTTGTTGTTGTTGTTGTTGTTTACTCTGTTTCATAACAAAAAAAAAAATATTATATTACATGAACGAGCCTTTGTCTGAAAACTTCCGATTTGGCTCGAGGGTGCGTAATTCAGATGAGGTAAGAGTGAGAGGTTTGGATTTGATTATAATCCGATTAAGAAAGAGAATTTTCGTTTAGGCCCATTAATACATAAACCAATTTAAATCCACATTATTACCAATAAAGCTGTTTTATTAATCAAATGAACGCATAGAGAAATACATGTATTTCATTATGAGGGATCTATATCGAAAACATTATCAAGCGGACTCAGACACCGCATGAATTTCCTCCTGGACCGCCATAGGTGAAGTAGACACCGACATCATCATTATCGAATCCGGTATAGTGTAGACCATAACATTTCTTGTTGTCTATCAACCTGTTGAACGTAAAGTTGTCAGCCCTATCCGAGAAATAATCCTTTCCTATGATTTCGAGATTACTGAAAAACGCCAAGTGATAAAGGTCATTCTCTTTCGGTAGGTTACCGTTGCCCATGGGCGGGCTCAGACCATTTGGGGAGCGCGGACCACGCCAGAGAATCCCACCGATGTAGCACCGCTGCCTAATACATCGAACAGTTCCTTTGGCCAATAACCGATATCACTCTTAGTGTTTTTGTCGTCCAATATTTCTGAAATCCACCAATTTCCTGTCGACGGATCCTTGTACATACCAATAGAAAAGTATTGTCAAGGAATTTCCCACGTAACATTTAGTATCATATATATATATATATAATATTAGTGAAAAAAAGCATTTTAACTAAGAGAAGAGTACCTGATGAATGGTGAACTGAATAAATGTCTTGTCCTTAGTGGTATCAAGAGGTTCACTCAAGAAATTATTATTTCCAACTTGAACAAACCCTGGACATTTTGTATTGATGCAACCTGCCCCGTTGGCACCCTACCATCGTATGTATTTCACATAAAATATTTGTGGTGTATCTCAGAAATTGGTGCGACATTTTTGGTATATTTGAGTGATTTGTCCCCCGAAAAACCCTAAAACACTAATTACCATCTCCGTCGTTGCCTCATCTCATCTCCTCTCTTCTGCGTCGTAGTTGAATCTAATCTCTGGGTCTTCAAATTTGTTTCGAAAACATATCGCGTTGGGGCAAATCGGTCTGCCTCAGGCCTGATCAGGTAGTTTGCGCATTTCTCTAACCTTTTTTTCACCATTTGGAATCTTATTCTGCCTTTGGTGGTTTTTTCGATGTTGTTATGTGATGGAAAATATTTTCATGTCCGATTGTGTACATATTTTAAATTTTATTGTGCAAGAAGGATTGAAAGTGATTGATTTTGCTTTACATGAACGTGTGAAGTAAGTAAAATGGTCCGAAGGAAACAACGATAGTGCTAATTGCACCGATATCTTTGATAAATGGTGAGGAAAATTTCAGTGATGAGAATATTGATGATTTGGCAACTATATTTTTAGATTAGATTAAGAAGAATGTTCGGATTATTACATTATTGTATAAGACTGGTTTGTGTTTGATTTACTAATATTATGGTTACATTACGTATGCAATATCACTTTATTAGAATTTTTACTTAAATTATATAATTTTCAAAAAATATATTTGTATTTTCAAATACTAAATTGTCATGACAATTTTAGGATTTAATAAATTTTGATACTATAAATTATTTTGATAAATAAATTTTATAATACGGATGATAGTTATTGAGATTTAATAAATTTTATCCAATGAAATTAAGATTTAAAATTTTATTTATTTTTATTTTTAAAAAATAATTTGAATACTATCATTATATTTTAATAATGTGATGATTTTAATTAAATTAAATTATTTATAAAATATCACAAAAAGATCTGTCAATATTGAATTAGATAATAAAATAATCACGATTTAATTAGTCAAATGGGTTTATTGGGTTTTATTTAGGTTTATTGGGCCAAACCAACCCATTGAAATTTTGTCTTGGTTTTATTGGGTTGATCAACCCAACCCAAAAAATTACATTCCCATGTGGGGCTATTGATTATTTTGGGCTTTGGGCTCTAAAGATTAAATTAGGTCCATTTTATTTCATACTTTTTATATTATTGGGCTAGTGGTCAAAACCCACAATGTGAATTTAATTTTCCTACTGCATATTTGGGCTTCTGGGTTCTAAACAAATTAACATAAAAGTATAAGATCCATCCATTTTATTTCACAGTTTTTACACTATTGGGTTTAGTGGTCAAAACCACAACGTTGAATTTCATTTTCCTGCTGCATACTTTGGGTTCTAAAGATTTAATTAACATTAAAATAAGGTCCATTTTATTTTATACTTTTTACATTATTGGGCTTAGTGGTCAAAACCCACAATGTGAATTTACCACAAAATTTAGGCGGCCCATTAGAAAAAGGAAAAAAAAGAGTGCGATAAAAATCAATTAGCAAAGGATCTCATGTTTCATTTCAGTTATGCAAAATCATCTACCAATTAAAAACTTTTAAATATTACATAGGGTAATTTTTTTTTAGCTTTTCACCATTCATCTTTTTCTGCCTCTTAGATTTACACCGAGCACATCGTATCATTCTTAATGCAAACAAAATTAATTCATAATTAATTTTTATAGTTTATGGGAAATTCACTTGTTCTTTTACAATATTCTAGCGGTGAAAATCGATCGAAGCAAAAAAAAAAAGATTAAAGATATTTATTGTTGAAAATACCATTAAATTAAAATAGTAAACTCTAGAATTTCAACATCTTTCGTCGCTTTCGTTTCGCCTGCGCGTCGGTTTCCCTTGCCTATTTCAAATTTCACCCTTCAATTTTAAAATTACCAACTTGTATTTTTATTTCATTTTGGTATTATTATCACATGGGCCGTCATATGTGACGACTGACTACGTCTCAGGGTTCTTTAAATGTAATGGGTCCCACAAGCTGATGTGGGAATTTCTACTTGGTCAATTCGGATAGAGACGTGTTGACTCGTGTTAGGGTTCCCAATTTTCCCGCCAATATCAACGGGAGGTCGGTCAGGGCCACAAATGTAACCTTGTCGTTCTTCGAGGGACAGAAACTCGAATCTTTATCTACGCGTTTAAGGCAAGTTAAAGATTGTACGGAACAATAACACCATCTTTAACCTAAATAATGTGATTAGATATTTAAAAAGAAAAATAAATTAATAAGGTTTTTTTTGGTAAAGGAATAAATTAATTATTTTCTTAAATAAGTTGTAAATAAGTAGAAGCTGGGCTGGCACAGGATTCGGCTTTTTCAGCTATCATCCACTTCTGCAGGTACAAATTTATTTATTAGACGATTCATAATTGAACATCACGACAAAAAAGATGTCAATATAAGAAAGATTATATTAAAATAAATTGTGTATATATATATATATGCCCTATCGAAATAATTAGACTTAATTATTAAGTTGGATAATTATTATAGAGTAATTTTCTATAGCAAAAATTCCAACTTAAATATTTAACTTAGAAATTTGATATAATTGATTTTTTATGTTGAATGAAAAATATTTCATAACCAAGCTAGAAAATACAAAAAAGACCGTTGGATATATTTGTTATGAGTGATTTCAATATATATATGTATATGTATATATTACGTATATAAATATATTTGTATATACATGTATGTATGCATGTGTATGTATAGTGATTCCCGCGTTTTAATTAAAAGAACAAAATACCTTTATTAAAATTTAAAAAAAAACCCTAAATCTCTCTTCCCCCACTCGTCAATTAATTCTCCTCTTCTGTTGAATTGATTAGGGCCTTTTCTTTGCCGAAAGCTCGCCACTGGTTGAACCTCCTCCTCTCCATCTCCGTCGTCTCCAGGTATGCCTTTGTTTCTGTGAAAAATCATCTCAGGTTTGAACCCTATCTTTGATTCAACTCTCCAGTTGTTGTTCATCTCCGATTTCATACCAGTAGGTTACTAGGATCATGAAAAATAGTGCATAAGCAGACACACCCAAATACCTTCACATTGCTCAAATCCAAACCAGATCTCATATGGGGTCTTCTTCTCCAAAGACTTGGTTGAAAGCATGTTTAACAGAAACACAGCAGTGTTTGCTGCCTCGGCCCGACAAGTCTTTGGCAGATTTTTCTCATGCATTAAGCACCGTGCCATTTCCATTACCGATCTGTTCTTCCTCTCACTCGCCCCGTTTTGTTGTGGTGAGTAAGATATTGCAAACTGGTGCTTAACATCTGCTTCTTCACAGATTGATTTAAATATGCTCGAAGTATATTCTGTACCATTGTCTGATCTCACAGTCTTCTTTTTCTTCCCACTTTTTGTCTCAACTTGAACCTTGCAAATATGCTTCAGATTTTTCCTTCATGAAATATATCCATGTGACCTTGAAAAATCGTTAGTGGAGATGGTAAAATATCTGCTTCCCAAGAATGAATCAACTGGCATCGATCCACAGACATCGGTATGAACCGGTTGTAACGCTTCTTTGGCTCTCCATTTCGATGCTTCGAATCTGCTTTCCATAAGCACAAGCACTACACGTACGGAATTCTACCTGAAAATCAGGTATCCTTTCAACCAACTTGTGCTTCAGCATATAAGATAGGCCTTCATTATAGAAATGACCCAATCTCTACTGCCAAAGTTCATCTTCTGATTCTGTAACCTTTAAAGCATCAAACTGTATTTTTACAAGATCAAAAGAAAAAGAGGCACACCACTAGGCTACAAACAAGTGTTCCTCCTCTGTTGCATCAGCATTCTGATTTTCACCTACGTTTGTATACTTGCTTCTGCAAAACCTCTCAACGTGTTCAATCTTGTGACACTTTCTGCATTCCATTTTCTTCTAGCACTTCCAATGTGGATGATTTTCCTTGTCGCAGTGTTTGCATGACTCAGAAGTTCATGAATTCTTATCAGAATCTGTCGAAGTACCCACTTTTCCACTGATCGGATTTCTGCTTCTGTCCAGCTTTCTTCTTATCAGACTTATTTCCCTTGATCTTTCTTTGCCTTCATTGCTCCCTCAGAAGTTTCATCTTTTCTCATCACCCTTCTCTGTTCTTGTGCCTGTAGAGCACTGATCTCCTCTTCAAGTTTAAGATCAGAAAGTTGCTTTGAATTCTCCAAGGAAACAATTGTAGCTTTGAACCTTTCTGGAATAGAAACCAGAGCTTTCTGAACCAACTTCTCATCCTTTACTTCAGTTTCCAAAATCCTGACATTGTTAACAAGAGAAAATACAAGACTTTGTATTTGGCCTTTCTTGTTATTTTCTCTTTGTGTGATACACAATCCAATTATCCAAGAGAAAATACACAAGAGAAAATACAAGACTTTGCTTTGGCCTTTCTTGTTATTTTCTCTTTGTGTGCCTTGATCTGTGCAACAGCTGGGTTTGCAGGAAGGTTTAGAACATCATAGTCCTCTTCTACAGCTTCCCACAAATCTGATCTCTCCACGATAGTTTTCATCATCGAACATAGGAACTGTAGGACGGTAGATCTGTCCATTTCATAAATGTGTACTCGGGGATATTCATGGCCCTTTTGGTAATCTGAATCCTGTTTGTGTATAGAAGTAGGGAAATGTTAACAAGGACCTTTATTTGGACCATCTGAATTTGAGCCTGTAAATGCAAATATGTTAATGTAACAGATTCAAAATATATATATATATATATATATATATATATATATAGTAATTGGATTGTTGATATGAACATGATATCACGCAACGCACACTCAACTGCTTGTTCGAAAAGAAGATTGTGAATGTCGCTATTTTGGTGAGATGATACATGCCCTTTCATGAGCTTATGATCTTCTTTGTTTGGCCGAGTTTAAAACCTTTGCAACTCTTTTGTCTCTTTGAAGATTGTGGATTTGTATGATTTATGTGATCATAGTTTTAAAAAAAATGTATGATTTGGTATAAAAATTGGTATGGAATCGGATTATACGTCTGAAGATTTAAACACGGGTTTAGATGCTCTCGTGGTTACCCAACTTTAGTTGCGGATACTCGAGCCCCGAGTATCCAGATCTTGAGACAGATAATTTTTCAAAAGAACCCTCAAGATCACTGTATCCAGACCATGACATTTTTGGATGGAGTTGATGGCATTTTTGGATGGTCCCAAGGTATGAAGGCACGCCAAGCAATGAGTCACCTTCCTTTTTAGGAAATCTCATGAATGGGGAGTTCTCTAAAGTTTCCTATAAATGGGATTTCCCATACAGTGCAAGGATGGTGCACATGTATTCTTTTTCTTTGTTATCTCTAATTAGAATATTAACAAATCATTCATTGCTCACCATTTCTAATGACTTGTGAGCTCCTCCTTTTTCACTTTTGGATATCCTTTTTTTTTTATTGAATTTCTTAATGCGGATAAAACCAAGGAATCAAAACATGGCACTTGTTCGGATGGAGCAAGGAGTGATGAAATGGTTTACCTATTCAACCAGATGGAACTAGAATGAGGCCCTTAGAGAAAGATCCACATTGAAGATATTTAAACAAAAATCTAGTTTGAGCATATGTTCTCCTAATGATTAGTGCTTGACCACATTTCATTTAGAGTCTGCCTATTGTGAATGTTGATGTGAACTCGGTAGACTAATGAAGGTGAATGTTTCATACTCTTTCAAGACATAGATATATCCAGATTTTGAGACAGAGATCATTGTTCGAAAGTATGCTGTCACTGTCCCAAGGCATTAAGGCACGACACAGACATACAACTACTCCCTTTCCTTTTATAGGAAGTCCCAAATCACACTAGAATAAGGCCCCTAGAGAAAGATCTTCAACGAGATACTGAACCGAACCGATCATTGAGAATAAGCGCGCTTAGAAGTATGCATGGCACGTGATTAATGTGGACCACCTCTACATTTTTCCAATATGTATTTGGTCAAGCCAATGACATTGAAGACAAAGGATGTAATCAGATTGAATTAAGCATAGAAAGATGCATAGCACATGGTTTTCGTGGGCCATGTTGAGGTCGTGGTCCATTTGAGACATGAAGATCCATTAATTCATTAAACCCTCCTAGGCTCTATTTTTTTTTAATGATGCATTTATCATTAATTTAAACAAAAATGAGTCTACTACATAAAACCCATGTTAGTAGACCCTAACATTATTCCATCTGTATCATTAATTTCCTTTTCTTAATTTTTTCGTGATTAGGAGATTATATGTAGGCCCCTAATGCCAAAAGTACAAAGATCAAAATCCCCATTTATAGATTTTTTTAACTAATTCTAGTTGTCTTCTAAGGGAATAAACGTAGCTTCACCCTACAATAACCAAAATCTAAACAAAAAGCTAAAACTTATAGAAAATTAGTTAATTAATTTAGGTTTGGCGATGAAATTGACACAGAAGATTATGAAGAAGAAAGGACTATGAAAACAAGAATAAAAAAAATATTGGCATGCATGATTATTTTATTAAATTCAAAATTTGTTCCGTTCTATCAATGGATTAATCTAATAATAAGTTCAAATATAAAAATAAAACCTCCAAACCTTGAAATAGTTAGAATATGTTTTATTTGATATTATGTTGCATAAACTAAAAATTTGCAATGCTAATTTTGTTTGAATCTTAGTAGTAAAAATTAAATACAATTTTTTTTACAGATTATCATGAGGTCAGAGACTAGGGATCTCGGATTCACGCGTCCCATTGCTTCGCGGATTTTTATTATCGTGGGTGCACTTCTCCTATTCCTCGGAGGAGTGATTGCAGCAGTATTTTTATGCCATTATTTATGTCATAGGGCACGTCGTGCGGCTACCCGTTCGGCGACGGCGATTGAGATGTCATAGATATTTAGTTTATTAGATGTATTGGTATTGGATAGTTAGTGACTTGGTTGGTGTGTACTCTTTTTTCATGTGGTGAGACTTGAATGTGTTGATGTTGGTTGATATCTAGATTTGGACATGATTTCATGATTTAGACACGGTTTTATGTACTGTTATGTCTTTTTATGTTGGTGTATCGTTTGAATATGACTTTATATAATTTCATATGATTTTTTAGATAATTAGTAGATTTGATTCTGGTAGAACCATAAATGTTTTGGTCCGATAGGATAGAAACGGGTTTAACGAGCTCTGAGATCAGTATCAACACCACAAAGCACCACATGACCGCGAGTATCCTGGTGTAAACGGTCTCCGCCGGCTTTTTCCTACACGATATCCAACAAAAATTTATTAAAAATATATAGCAAAGTTTCATATCAATTTTATTGCAAGATTATTATAATCAAACTAAAAATTTGCAATACATTTTAATTTATTTCCGTTAGAAAAAACTATACATTTTGTGAAATGTTCTGAAAAATACATCTTAATAACTTCTAAATAAATGACCTAATATTCTTTGGTTCACACAACCATAGTTTTTAGAATAATTTAATAAAGGAAATATGTAGAAAAAAAATCCGAACCATAAGATGTGTTTTCTTGGTTTTCAATAGCAATAGGTTATTTAATGGGTTGGACTTTTTAGGTCCATTTTGTTTTTTCTTCTTTAACTTATTGAATCCATATTTAATGGGCTCCCACAGTTAGCTTAGGAATACGATCCAATGAAGAAAGAGAATTTTTCGTATAGGCCCATATTAATACATAAACCCCATATCCAATTAATGATGGTTTCGGTTGAATAACCCATCAAACCCTTTTATATTCACATTATTACTAATATATTGAAAAAGGAGGACTAACCACGAGCACAAGAAACATTTTGGATATCTTATTCACGGGAATTTTGGAAAACGTATTATCAAGTGTAGACCTAGACACCGCATGGATTTCCTCCGGGGACCTCCATACTTGGAGTAGACGCCGACATTAGGGTTATCATGTCCAGCATAATCTAGACCGTAACATTGGTCGCTGTCTACCAACCTTTTCAATGGAAACATGTCTGCTCTATCCAACGAATAATCATTTCCCATGATTTGAAGGTTATTGAAAAACCCCGAGTGATAAGGATCGTCATATTTTGGTCGATTGCCGTTACCCATGGGTGGGCTCGGGGTATTCGGAGGAGCGCTGACCATGCCGGAGAATCCAACCATTTGAGCGCCGTCGCCGATTAGGTTAAACAGTTCCTTTGGCCAGTAGCCCATATCACTCACAGAAGAGTCTTTGAACATTTGAGTAATCCACCAATTCCCGCTAGTTTTATCCTTGTACATACGAATGAAGCATTGTCAAGGGATTTTTCAATCGTAGAAATACGTATATAGAAAATGAAAGAGTACCTGATGAATGGTAAACCGAATAATTGAATCGTCAGTAATTTCCATAGGTTCGCTCAAGGGATTATCTTTTGCAACTTGAACAAACCCTTTACATTGTGTATTGTAGCAGCCTGCCCCCTTGGCACCCTACCATTACATCTCACGTGATCAATATAACTATATTTTGTAAAATGTCAAGAAAAAGGTCAAAGTACACCTTCCAAGATGCGAAAGTCCATGTACGAGCATCACCAAATAAGTTCATATTTATCTGCAAACGAACCACCAAAAGCTTAAAACTTTGGCTTTAATTCGAAAGATAAAACGTAAATTAAAAAACGTGAACATATATATATACACACACACACCATCCATCCCGCTTGGATAAAGTTGAGCTGTCCATTGGATTCAGCGGCTACGTATTGTTGAGCAGATGAAGCTTCATTGCTGTACGTACATTCCATTAAGCTTTTATAAAGTTTTACGTGCATGCAATGTATATATATATGTATACGTATACGTATATATATGTACAGTTGATAATATGGATGCTTACATGTACGCCTTTTTCTTGAGTGTTTGGTATGATGTTTTCTGGTCTCGTTCTCATTATAGGCACCGTTCCATCTGGGCATTCTATTATCTTTTTTTTTTTTTTTTAATTATGACAACAATTTCTAATTTTCTGCTGCAAAAATAAATGCCAAAATCATGAAAAAAAGGTACCAATGCAAGGGATCCTTCGGGGTTGGGGTCGCTGGTCTGTAGGAGGGTGAAACCGGCTAGCCCGGCTCGAAACACCCGACTCGCCATTAGCTCTCCATTTTTTTGCGCTGGGATTAGGGATGTCAATTAAGTCCAGAACCCGAAACCCGGTCCGAATCCGCCCGAAAATAATAAGGACATGGGCCTAAAAAATATAGGCTCATTAAATTTCGGGCTTTCGGGCCTCAGGCTAAATGGACTGCGGGCCAGTTGGGTCGGGTCGGTCGGGCCTCGGGCCGGACTTGAAGCCCATTAATTTTTTTCTAACCCTTTTTTCTAAGCCAAAGTTTTACCTCTCTATGATTATCTTAACTTCTTTTTAACCATATTACATCATTTGATAATCATCTTTTGTATTATTTTTTTTACTAAATCAAACCTAACCGTTGCTATTTGATTAAATTTTTTTGTTTTATATTTTTTTCACTCTATATAGGTTTTATTTTGTACTAGTAGTTTGGATTTTGTCCTTCGATGCACATAAACAAACACATGTTCTATATTTATATATGTGTATCTTTTAACCAAATGACGAAACTTTATCTTGGATCCAATTAACACTTTTTAAAGTAATGAAAACTTTTATTTTTTTAATCATATTACATCATATATATATATATCAATTTATATTTTTGAAAACGTATAAATTTTTAAATATATATATTTCTAAACCTTTATTTACATATGAATATATTGATTCTTTTTCTATATGTTTCAAATTAATTACATCATATAATTGTCTTTTTTATACTATGTTTGTTTTTTTAATATTTTACATTATTATTATTATCGTAGAAAAAAATATTTTTATTTGATAAAAAAACCCGAAGCCCGGTCCGAACCCGTCCGAAGCCCTATAGAGCCAGGCTCCGGACCATCGATCCTAGACCCAAAAAATAAATGGGCGGGCCGGCCCGGCCCGAAAAATTCTAGACCCGAATTGAACCCGGCCCGAACCCGACCCGGCCCGCCCATTTTACACCCCTAGCTGGGATCACCCCGACGGGTTGGAAATATACCGTCTAGACCCGGTTTCCCTAGCTCGCTGGTTAAACGGTCCGTTCGCGGATCGAAATAAATATATACATATATATAATATTTACACATATATATGATACATACATATATATACACACATATTTCCGACATCTATAGATATAGTGGCAGATCCAAAACTATTTTCATACGGGGACAATATACGTACAATTTTATATGAATAACCATAATTTTATTGGGGTCATTTATCAATATTGTTTTATAATTTTATAAAATTTATGAAGAAATTAATAATTTTTGATTAATTATATGGGGACATGTGCCTCCTTTCTCCACTACATAGATCCGTACATGTATATATATTTTAAATATATATATATATATAATATAAATACGTGAATATATGTATATGTATCTATCTATATTTATAATATAAATACGGTTTTTTTTAATTTCATTTATTTATATATAAGATTCACCTTTATAAAAAAAAGTAATTTCGCCAAACTTAATGGGCCCATATAAGGTGACTCGACTGGGTCAATACTCGAGGATTGGATATGTGGGTCGGTCCAAACATAATCCACCAAATATTTAGCCTAATACGAGTTCGGTTTTGTATTTTAAGATTTTTTGGGTTCGGGTTCGGTTCCAGGTGGGTAAAAAATTTGGGGTACCCGATCCGTACCCATTTCTGTCGCATCTTAATGTTAATTTGATTTTGTGATCTTTAGAAGATTGAAGTTGTTTAACCCAAGTTTGAGTGATTCAACCGGTAAGGGGTTCAAGTCCTCGTTTGGAAATAGATATCCATATGGATTTCTCCGGTTCTTTAGAAGATATAGTCGGGTCAAATGCCCTATAAATTTTTGAATTATAGAAAAAAAAAGTTGTTTATGTATAGTCTATTATTTCAAATAAAAAGTTTAAATTTGACTTTGTTATTGGATTCCGAAATTTCACGTCATTTCTTCGTTTGGAATAATAATAAACAAACATTTTATTGTTTTCGTAGTATATGTGTCAATTTTTTTAAAAAAAGAAACTACTTGTACTCAATACTCATAACACAATATTTCTACAAATTAATGTAGGTAATTGAAGTTTAAGATCATTACCGTTTTGTCACATGTAACGCGGTTTTCCTCAGTAATACTCTTGGTTTGGTTCCTTATATTTCTACGCTTTAAGAGGAATTCGTTCTCTGTCCTGTATAGATTCGTCATGTGGAAGACTGATCCGAACTCAAAACATCGAAAATATCACAAACTCAAAAATAAAACGAAATAGAGTTACCTCTTTACCGGTGGGATTGTTTTTGTGTTTTTCCATTTCCTTCTAAATGAAAAGGGGTAAACATGATTAAAATGAATTGAAATGACAAGAAATACTTTGCTTCATGTTGGTCATTGAACCCGATTCTAATACAAAAAATGATACACGGTCGACGGGGAAGGAAACGTTCGCTCGGTTATGATAGTTGTGTCACGGGTTATGAATGGGTCCGAAAAGTTTAGTCTCAAAGTCGCCTCGATCTTTGTTTTTGGATTGAAGAGGAGATGATAGGAATGGATCATGGGTGACACCACAAAGGGTCCTTCGATATCGTTAACCCTAAACCCTAAATCTCGTACTGCGCTCTCCAAAGAGCAACTCTTTTCAAAATCTCAAAAGATGATGAGTTGGAATCCCATTCCAACTAAGGATTCTTGTGGTTCTAGAGGATCCAGCTACAGAAGAACCAGGAATGGAGAGCTTTCCCCTTTTCCGATGCACTTGTTAGTACATCTAAAAATTATGAATTGGCTGAGAATCTCACTCAAACACTTGCGAGAACTTGATTCAAATGCTTTGGTATCTCACCTAGGTTACGCGAGAACATGAACAAACAAAAATGCACTTTATTTCCGGTTGAATTCTGTCCCAATGTCGAAGACAACAACCTTTAAGTAGGTAAAACAAAACAAGCATGAAAGGAAACAAAAAAAAGGCCACATAGGCAAACTTGATTGGCCAATTCCCATGGGTTTTTGTGACCTCCATCCACGTAACCTTGCATGTCTTCATGACTCTCATGCACGCATCAATGCATACAATCTCCAATGGATTCCTAATGACCTCCATGCACGTAGTCTTGCATGCGTTCTTCATCTGTTCCACACTTCTCGTGCATCTCCTCGCATACCGCATCCGTGTCCTTCATCTACGTCCTTGTTCGTGGTCTCATCCGCTATATATGAAATGTCTTCGGTCGTATATATGTCTACATCATAGTTTGATTTGGTTGAATGGGCACACCATTAATTAATTAATTTCTTCTATCCTAGTTTCATTTGGCTGAATTGAATATACCTTTTAATCTCTCCTCGCTCTATCCAAACACGTCCCACGTTTTGATTCCTTGTTTTTATCCGCATTAAGAAATCCAATTAAAAAAATATCCAAAAGTGAAGAAAAAAGGAACTCATAAGTCATTAGAAACGGTGAACAATGAATGATTTGTTAATAATCCAATTGGAGATGAAGAAAAAAAGGAATAGTTGTGTGCCCATTTGTACCATCCTTGCCGTCTATGGGAAATCCCGTTTATAGAAAACTTTGGAAAACTCCCATTCATGGGACTTCCTATAAAAGGAAAGGGAGTAGTTGTATACTTGTGTCGTGCCTTAATGCCTTCGGACCAGCAACGACTAGGGATTTTATCAACTCCATCAAAAAATGTCAAGATCTGGAAGGATTCTTTTGAAAAATGATCTGTCTCAAGATCTGGATACTTGCGGATACACGTGACTAAAGTTGGATACCCACGAGAGCAGTGTTTAAATCTTCAGACCTATACCATGTATAATCTGATTCCATGTCAATTTCATACCAAATCATACATTTTTTTTAAACTAAGTTCACATAAATCATACAAATCCACAATCTTCTAGGAGACAAAAGAGTTGCATAGGTTTTAAACTCACGAAGCAAAGGTCACAAGCTCATCAAAGGGGCACGTATTTTCTCGCTGAATTATCTTTTACTTAATTGTAAAATATCCTAATCAATAGATCCTAGCGTCATTCACAATCTTCTCTTAACAAGCAACTGATTGTACGGTTTGTAACATCATGTTCCTATCAACAATGCAATTACTATATAAATATATATTTTGAATTTGTTACAATAATATATTTCAGCTCAGATTCACATGGTCCTAAAGATCCTTATTAACAATTCCCTACTTATCGATAACGAAAAATCTAAACATGATATTCAGATTCAGATTACAATATTCATTTTAAGTTTCGGATTCTTAGCTATTACCGACATTAAATGTGACTCATTGTACGATTTGTGTACAGTTTGTATAATAAAAATTAAGATATGAACATTCTTTGATGAGTTTATATATGGACATCTCTTGCATTAGAAGAATCTTATTTATTACTATTTTTATCATTTCTTAAACAATAATAATTGAATTGATTTATCATAAATTTAAAATTAGTTATTATTAATCGTACCATCTTTGTACTGTTTATATAATAAAATTAGGCTACATAGATCAATTTAATATTCTTTGATGACTTTATATTTGGATATCTCTTTCATTAGAAGAGTCTTTTTCACTAATAGTTTTATCATTTCTTAAACAATAGTAATTGAATTGGTTATCCGTCTGATTCTTTGCATGGGGTTTGGTTCCTCACGGTTCTAC